ATTAGTTAATCATTTTGTAGTAAACCATAATTCGTAAGACATTCTGAGCTCGTTAGTTTTTAATGCCGAAATCTATAAAAAGGATAAAATTTAATTGTATGTTTTCACGGTTTATGTTAGTAATTCGGAGTTGCCATCATAAATAATAATAGTGAGTTATTCATGTTTTAATGGCAATAAAAGCCTGTAATTTTGATAGTTTCTCTTAAAAATGAATGAAATATTTTGATTTTAGTTGGAAACAGACAAGACGCGTTAAACTTTTTGATTAATTGTTCTTTTCATCAGTGACATTTAATTCCAACGTGTCTATTCTTTTTGTATGTGTTAGACAGCCATTGTATGTCAAAACATCCATCATTTTACTCAGAGTAATAAACAAATAAATTCTCTCTTTGTTTATGCTGTGTTTTATTTGAAAATTTTACCCTCAGTAGAAGAGTTGTCTGTCACGGGGATTTAAAAATTTTTTCATATCGCAATGAATTATAAAATATTTAATAAAAACGAGTATTAAACATTAAATGAGTAAATTCTTTTATGTTTTCCATATTTGTTCAGTGTTATAAATTCGCTGAACAACGATGCAGTGCCTTGTGAGAAATGGTAGTGTGCTACCCGAAACATTCGTTCAATTTTTAAACTTAAATTAATATTTCAAGCTGTCGATAAAAAATGAAATTGCATTTAAGATTATAACTACGGCGCGAGGTAGAATTTCAGAGTTTTAATGAAGATGAGTGTGAGAACTTAACGAGTTGAACGCGACAGGTGCTGGTACTTATTAAATACCATAACCTCAAAGAGCATATCAATAATTAAACTACACTTTGTCACGATTGAAATTCAAATTAATGCAAAACCTAGTTGGCAGCAATGCCGCCGTCGTGGCGTATGATCGGATATTTATACACGAGAATAAATTATTATGATAAATATTAAACATTCTTGCGAAGGGGTGAATCAGTGGTGGCCGCGTCGGTTCTTGGCAAACAAACTCCGCCACATGCCGTTACTCCGCCCGATAAGAAACAGAAATCTTGGGACTTTCCGCTTCCGCAAACAAGGTGGCAGAAGAGAGCTGGCTCAATGTTTGCCGGCTCGTTATGAGACCCTCTACAGAGCGTGGGCCATAGAAGCGGATCATGGAAAGCGCGCGTATATGCACTGCAGTGTGTGCAGACGCGATGGAAACAAAAGGGAAGAAAAAACAACCGCCGCCAGATTAATATGTTTGTCGACATAATCTGTTGGGTAAACACGATTCGGCTAAATTAGACACAATAACTCGCCGAAAAGGGGACACGTTGCGACTATCACCACGCGCGCATCTTCGGGAGCGATGCGGCCGCGTAACATTATAAAGTGCTTTGGACTTGCAGTGATGACACCGCTCGTTAAGAGCGCCAAGATCGTTTATCACCCGCTCGGCGAGTGCATTTCTCGGACAGTGAAAATATCGGCGTGGCGAATAACAGAGTAATGCATGTTATTTGTTAGAGGACGGTATGTGAGGGAAGACTGACCTTAACCGGCCCACGGCTGGACGGTTCGTTAAGCTCTGACGGCGACTTCTGTCGAATTGACTCAGCCGGTCGGGCAGTCTCAGAGGGAGAAATTCGACGTCGCGATGCCGCAGCTATGGATGACGTCACTGTTGTTGTTCAGCCTGATCGGATTACAACTCGTGACTGACGTCCACTTGCCCTTTGGGATCATCCCTCGGCGTTTTCATTCAATTCCCTTACAATGTGTGACTATGTGCGTGTGTCAATGTGTGTACAACTACACTGCTATTCTCCAAGTCTATCGTTAAAAATAAGCATCTTCCGCTGTCCGGGAAATTGACGTCGTCGTATAGCTCTTAACTGCAAAATTTCGGTTCAGTGGGTTTTCCGTATGGGTAAAGAGGGATATTGATATCAATAATGTAAGTTGGGCGTAAGAGTGGAATATGTACACAAAGAGACATTTCGTTTAAGACTTCACAACGTTGTCAATAATTGAAAAAATATGTGTTTTTATAAGGTTACAAAATAAAATTTCATTTTTCACTTATGACACGGACTTTAGGCCGATATATTAGTACTTTTACTAATATTTAGTAATTGATAAACATATTACAACAAGAGATAACCAGTTTTTTTAAATATTTACTATTTTGAATAACTAAAGTTTATTGAAATTATGAAATATTTTTTTTAAAAATTCAATACATTAGCATTACGATTGTTAAGTTGTTTATATTTGTTTAAATTAAATACGATTATTATATATTTAAACTACCATGTTTATTATTTTATGGTATCAAGTAAAATTAAATATTTAAATATAAAAATACATGCACATTGAGTATGGGTAGATAAGTTTTGATTACTTCTTTTGTAAACACAATTATGTTTACCAAAAGAGTTTTGTGAAGTTTACTATTAGCAAACATAGTAATGTAAGGAATAAAATCTTTATCAGTTATTTAAATAAATAGTTATAATAATTCAGAAAAATTTTATTAAATTTAAACAAAAAATAAAAGTATGTTTTTTTTTTTTAATTAAAAACATATTAATGTATACTATAAAAATTCTTTGATTAAAATATATAAAAAATATACTTGAATTGTATTTATGAAATTTCAACACCAATGTTGATTCTTATCCAATTTATTAAATATGCGACAAAATAATAACATCATGAAATGAACGTTTTTACATTAAGAGGATTATAATTATCGTAAAAAACTACATAATTCTGTAAACGTTTTAATATTAACACAAATTACAGGTTTTCATATGCCCTCGAGATTCTGATATAATTTTTTATAAGAAAATAGGTTACCATACATTAACATAGAATAATAATAATAGAAAAATTGTCTTGGGCCTGCATTATTAAATCTTACTGAGTGAGTAATTGAATTTCATGTTACTTAACACGCAATCATATATGTATAATAATATTGTTTATTTTATTTTTTTCCTACATTTCGTGTTGGTCATGTATTGTGTTTGTTGACATACTTTCAACGTGATTCGAATAGTCTATTAATGAAGAATATAAAACAGGAAAATTAATAATTATTCTTCAATGTTGAAATAATTTATAAGTACGTTGCACTAGATTCGAATTCGTAAGTGTTTTCTAACAATATCGAAACATTTTATGGACTAAAGTGAAGGTTAGAAATTCTAGTAAATGATAAATTGCTAAGTTTATGTAATTATTTTTCTATGATATAACGTTTGAAATTTTCTTTTTTCTATGTCAAATTTAATTATCTTTATACATTTCTGAGTTGGTGTAAACTATGAAGTGCTATAGGAATTGCGGTAATTTAATAACTATTATTGTCATATTTCCTTTTAAAGGCAACGGAAACTAAACGGTAGGTAATCTTTCGTTGACATTACTTGTTTATACAATTTGATTAACCGCCTAGACGGCTCGCGTACCTGTACTTAATTGACGTAGGAAGAAAAGTCGATTGTTGTGTGAAATTATTTCAATACAAGTATAAATCCGAGAAGTTAACATAACCGTTTTATTATGCCATAGAGATTAAATAACTTTTGGACACTTTGAAATCGGATTTTTTTCTTACTACTTAATTTTGCCTACTCGAGTTTAACGCAATTTTTATGTGGACGTATTACAAAAACAAAAATTATTTCAGTTGAGTTTGCGCAAATAGCATTGTAAACCGAGGTTGGTACTTGTATTATATCAGTGTTAATTATTATTATTTTTGCAATTGTTCTTTAGAATCTGGCAATAAATTTAATTATTTTCGGACCATATCCATAACACGTCACAATGCGTTTCCGCTGTATTTCACAATTATTAACAATGACCTCCGGTCGGACTTCACGATAATTAAAAAAAGTAAAATTTTTCAAATTTCCAAGAAGACATTTTCGTGGTTGATAATTTTTGACATCGTGTAAAAACTATTATCGTTACTAATCTTTGACGTGTGGGCGACGATTTCGTCATCGCCCTTTACACTGGTGCAATTCTGCAGAGGATTACACTGAAGATTATGTGAGCGCACACCAGTTTACGGTTCGATTCCATCGGCCGTCGACAATCGTGCGAACGGTCGCCACACGTGTTTAATGATCGGGTCCTGAGATTTTTGGCCGTCGCATGAACGATTCGTGTGACTGAGGCATTCGTCTAATAATAAAAAACATAATTGGTCGGTTGTGTAACTAGCACCGTCGCGCCGTCGGTCCTCTCGGTGAAGCCTCTCATGCCCTAATTATTTCGGACGCGCGAAACCGCATCGGCCAGTCGTAAGGCAATCGGCGGCACGTACGAATGTTTACATAGAAACCGACCGGTATGTGCACAATAGTGGGTGGGCTCATTACATAAACGACACGTCCGTCGCTGCATTAGAATGTGCGCGTGCATTTCAAGTAACCTCTGCCGCCTGAAAGCGGTACTTGCAATAAGGTCCTTGTTCTGTTGGAGTCATTGAATACGCTTTTCTAATTATGCCGGTCGCGAAATCAAACGCCAAAACTGGGCGGTTTATCGAAACGCGTTATGTTTAGCGCCAGACTCGATTTCAGGTCAGTCTGGTCTGTGTACAACACACGATTCCACGGTACACTATGAACCGAATGCGTGAGAATGTCTGTTATTATTACTATGTATTGAACTTCCCACTATTATTACCATTATTATGTAATTTTTGCGGAGGACAAATACGATTTCAAAACATAGTAATAAATTAGTTTTGCCGAAATACTTACATCGTCTTGACCAAAAAGTATGTTTTACGGTTGGAAAAATACATTTTTATTTTTTTAAATTATACAGCATTGGTTAACAGACCAACATGTTAATCTATCATAAATGCATTGTATACTGAAAAATTACCATAAACAGCTGCGACAAACATAGTTTATTATTCAGTCGGTTTTAAAACACCAACTCGATGATTTCTTTTTTCGGTTGCTGTGCATAAAATACTCATAAACAAGTAAATCACGAAGACATGGTTAAAAAACTTTATTTGTATCATAATAATTCTTTGCCTCACATTGTTAACATGACAATTTTTGTTTGTATTGTTTGAAACAAAGCAATGATATGAAATTATACAAAATGATGCAAAAAAAAAAAAAAGAAAGACAAAGAGTATTTACATAAAAAAAACTTTATTCGAAGTCGTTTAAAAACGATTATTTTTGGTAACAATCGAAGCAAGTAAAATTAATATGATTTTTAGCTTCGACATTTTTAGATAATATTAATTTTGATTTTTCGCGCAGTAGAAAAATTATATAATTATTTACACACAAATAAAATGTAAAAAAAAAAAAACGTACTTAACATAGAATAGGTAACCTATAGGTTAAAATCTGGTAACTTTTGGGATTTGAGCTGGTCTAATAACCACTGTCGTGTTCGTATTCGTCATGATGATGATGTTCATGATGGTCGTAGTGTTTTACTGGCACTGGCACTGGGACAGCGATTTTCACTGGAACTTTAACTGGGTAAGGCACAGGCTTCTCGACTGGGTACGGTACTGGTTTCTCTACTGGGTATGGGATGTGTTTTTCTACTGGTACTGGGTATGGACGGTCGACTGGCACTTTGACTGGGTAAGGCACTGGCTTTTCTACTGGATAAGGAATGTGTTTTTCGACTGGTACGTGCACTGGGTATGGTCTGTCGACTGGAACTTTGACTGGGTATGGAATGTGTTTTTCGACTGGGTAAGGCACGTGTTTTTCGACGTATACTGGGTACGGTTTTGGTACGTGAACTGGGTATGGCCTGTCAACGGGCACCTTAACTGGGTAAGGCACTTCTTTGACGACTGGGTATGGATGTGGGACTGCTACTTTGACTGGATAAGGCACTGGTTTCTCGACATGAACTGGGTATGGTTTTGGCACATGGACGGGGTATGGCCTGTCGACGGGTACAGCGACTTTGACGGGGTATGGGACGTGTTTTTCTACATGTACTGGGTATGGATGAGCTACTTCTTTGACGATAGTTTTGGAGATGACATGACCATGACCGTGGTAGTTGTGGCTGCCGAAGTCGTGGCCGAGGTAGTCGTCACCACCAGTTTCGTAACCGTAACCGGATCCGTAACCGTAACCGAGATCAAAGAGACTCCTCTTACCTTGAGCTTTGTCGTCTGTCTTTTTGTCTTCTACAGAAACGGCTGACTTTTCTTCGGCTAAGTCTTTCTTGACATCTTCGCCAGCCAATGCGTAGGCGCACAGGCCGAAAACACACGCCGTGTACAAAAATCCTTTCATGTTGATACGCTGTTTCAATTTGCCTTGGATCGACTGACTGTTGGACACTCAAATCGGCTGGTTTTGTAGTGACCATCAAGCCGGTGGGGAAGGTGCTTGTTCTCCCTCCGGACTAAACTTATGGTTATCCGGGCGAATCTACTTTCTCGCAATGTTTGTCCAGTGTCACAGAACGACTTTGTTCAATACTCTCTTGTAATCGATACAGTTAGGTGCAAATTGTTTACTAATCAGCACATCTCGTCAATGTGATTACGATGAAAATTACGATCAAGATCATTTGCATACTTAGTTTTAAAAGGATGATAAAATTAATTAGTATTAATATTTTATAGTAAAAAGTATTGTTGCATTAACAAAAAACTTGATATTATAATAGTTATCTTAGATGCGCCATCTTGAGACTTATTATTTGTGAAATAAAAGAGAACCAAAATAATTTTGCAATCGCTGAAAAAATTAAAAATTTTAATGATTTGAAATTAGTAATAAATAGCTGAATTATTAAATAAATTTCGATGAGTTATTTGATTAAATTCAATGAGAGTAAATACTAACATTTTAAACATATATTTTGATAGGTATAATTAAAAATTTTTTCTAAAATCATCATAAATTTGATGAGAACATTTTTACTTTAATTATTCATTAATTTTGTTTTATATAAAATAGTAAAATCTATAATTTTTGTTATTGCAAACATGATATTTAGAATTTATTTTTACAGACAAAAAGTTATCTATTTCGACATTTTTTACTCATTTCTGCTTATTAAAAAACAATTAAATGAAGCATTATACAATTTAACATAAACTTTGTAAAATTTTCATATAATATATCCTATATTTGATCGAAATACAACTAAATATGTTTAGATATGTTTTAGCTATTGCATAATTCTTTTTTAAATTAAAAATTTCTTTAAACATGTGGTAATATTTTATTTTATAAATCATGACGTTTCTTAATTTGTTAAGGCCAAATGTTGCCAATATGCAAAATATATTTATTTAAAATATTTGAATACCTAAAATTAATATTGACTTAGAGAAAGGGACAAAAATAAATTAATTCACTTTAATTTCAAATTCTATTCGGTTATAAAATTTGTTTAAAATAGTATTTGAAACAGTCTATTGCTGTTGAGAATTTTATAAATTCATAAAATAAGTAATTTGGAAAGACTAGGAATAAAATATGAAAGTTTAATATCAATAAAATTATAAATATTATAATTATTATTAAATACAAATATTATAAAACTATTAATAATTAACATATTAAAAATTACTAATAATTTGATGACTTATGAAAGTTTTGTTTTTGAAAATTGAATAATGTAAAAGTCATACAATTAGTTTTTTCATATAATATTATTTTATTCAATTAAATGAAAATTAATTTGAGCAAAAAATTATTTATGTATTTTAATATACATGTTTTACTTGCGTTTTGGTATGGTTTTCGTACCTAAGTCGACCACCGACCTACTAACAGGTTATTTTATCTTCCCGTAAATAAGATACACTCGGATAAATTATCAACATGCACATATATTACATAGAAAAACATGGTTCTAGTGATATAATATCTGCAAGTATAATATTACAAGGTATACGCTTATTTGTAATATTATTAATAGATTCACTGTGTAAAATAATATCCAAAATAAGCTTAAATAATCAAATACATGTACGGAGTTATTTTTATCAAAGGAATCGCATTGCATTGATCAAAAAATATTTTTAAGCTTACCAAAAATATATCAATTATTAATATTAGTTTTAAAAATATCACTATGACACATAGAATTTGTGATAATATTTTATATTATTTTTACCACTGGAACATTTTGGATGTCATAATAAACACCAAACTTGATTTTGCACATTCACGTTTTGAGATTTTTAAAAATGTAAATGTAAACAAAACAGTATGTGGTAGTCTTTCTAATTGTTAAAGAATATTTTGATGTTACTAAAATAAGTTATTAAGAAATTTAATAAGCGTATTATATAGTGAAAATTAAAAGTCATTTATAATCAGTTCTTGTAATACATCTGAAAGTCATTTTTAACTATCTCTGTAAAATAGAATTTTATAGAAAAAGAAATCATAAATCTTATTTAGGCTAAATGTTTATTTTGGTATCATCGCATTATGTAACCACTCTGAGTATCTTACTATTATGTATTAATCAAATTTTATGTTTAAAGCTTTTATGTTTTTGTACATTTAAATGAATATACTATCGTTGAACATCGAAGGTTGAAGACATGTTGCATAAAAAAGTGTAACAAAATTTTATTTTACTCGTCATAATCTGAAATAGTTATGAAACACGATAAAAAGTATTATATTTGTGTGTATATGATAACTTTATTTTTTTTATGTAATTATCATTAGTCGACTTCATGAAAAAAATTTGGATTTGTTTTTTCAGTTTGATTGCGACAGTTATGTGTACTAATTATAAACGAACTATAACATAAAATTTCAAATAATTGAAGATTGAGTAAAAAATTACAAGTAAACAATAATGTAGGTTTTTAAATATTACAATCTAACGAGTTATGTAACTCATCGAGTAGATTTTAAACACATAAAGTAAAATAAAAATATTTTTCATACATAGATTTATTTGAAAAACGCTTAAAATTAGATGTTAAGTGATAAGTTAATTTGAACTAATGATGAATTGTAAACACGCTTTAAAAAGAACGGTGTATTATTCATATTTTTTTTGCTTATGCAGCTGGACCAATAAGAGTAGTCTCGACCATATCAAAGGGACACACTTGACCGCAACCAACACATCCGTAAAATGTCGCACACCGTTTTTATTTTTTGCTATCGTAATTTATTGCTATCTTGATTATACATTTTTGTTAGTGTCATGATGTATTGTAGTGTTTCTTTACACTTTTTGGTTATGTTTATCAAACTGAGGGTTAATAATGTTCAACGCAGCCGTTAGGCTGAAATTCAATAAGCTTAATACTAAACACAGATGTACATTGCAGTCTTGTTGACTTTTTATAATATTTGAGAAGTATAAAAAACGTTTATCATGGTTTGTTTCTTAAAAGTTATTTACATTCGCTTGGAATACATATCTTTATGATTTTTTCATCATATTATATGCAATAATTGTTTATTTAATATTCGTTATTATAACGATTTAATAAATGTTTTATTTGTTTAAAAATTATTCTATATAATCAAAATCGATAAAACACACCAAATATTTATTCGAGTACAGCGATGCATTACTGAAAATCATGATTACCTTAAATTATTAAGCATATGTGTTATTTAATATTCTTACACCATGTAGAGTGCACTGAAAATATCATTTTTCTAGTCATTATATTTTTATACAAGTAACGGTATGGACATTTATAGTTTTATCTATTTTTTTGGAAATATTTTTCTAAAAATAAACGCTTTTGCAGAATATAGTTTTTGTTAGTGTTATTGATTTTTTTTATTTTCAAACAATCCACTTTTTAACAATGTTCTATTTTTATGGGTAAGACACAAAACTTAGTATTTTGTTTGCCTAGACATGTAATTACTGTCAGCCAACAATACACAAGCGGGATGTGATTAGATATTTCAAATATATTGAATTTAATTTGTTCTTTTACAAACAATTTTTCTAGGTGAAAAAGTACAGAATTTTTCTGAATTTCGGGGATGACCGAGACTCCAAGTTTCTATCCCGCGGCTATGTTTGGATAGAACTAATATGCCGACCTATTTCATAATTTTTAGAATCTCGTTGGGAATGTTTGATTTGGTCCGGTGATTTTATTGAAGGTCGCTTTTGGTACAATTAAACCAAAACAATAACCCGTAATGCACTTAACAAATTAATATGCATCTTAGCCCGATAACATTCCGGCAGATTAATATGGTAATTAAATGTCCAAACCAAAGTAACAAGTGTATTGTTACCCAATTTTGTTTATTATTTAATTACATAATTAATAGGATACACGGCACGTCACTCGTTTGGAAGCGGTCGGGTTTAACGACTGTCGGGACCAATTCGAACGTTAATTATTAACATGCCCGTTTACGGTGAAAAAGGAGTTTGCATTAGACGCGTCCGAGATCCGTTTAATTTAAATCAGTTCAATCGACGGAGGAAAATGAGTTGCATAACGACTAGTTCGTCTCGGGCAGTCGTTGTGGACATTTGTCTCGGAAACGATTTGGCAACAGCACTCGGAAATCACAGAAAACGTGTGTGAGACAACCTAGTCGGCGTGGCCATTGAAACGACCACAATAATGTCTTCTAGCCCGTACACGGTCTTATTATAATTATCGGCCCCGATCGCCGCGTTAAGTACCGTCTTGGACACAAAGGTTGAACTTTATCGTGCGCAGTACAAGAGTTGCAGCTTGTCCTGTGCTAAGTAGACTAGAACCGGTCAACAACACATGAAATCCCCGTGCCTCCGAATGTAGGTAACGTTTCTCACGGCTAAGAGGTTTACCGGCACAAATACGCGTTATTATCGTGTTATTGTTATACACACACACACACACACACACACACACACACACACACACACACACACACACACACACGAATTGTATAACGCACAAGATTAACATCGGACGGCCACCGCGGCGGCTCGCGCTCACATTGTAAGAACTCGTCCGTGGTCGAATTTCGTAACAGTCCCTATTGATAATAATAATAACAATTGTGTAGCGAACATTGCGTTAAAACAACAGCGCAGTGCCGTGTGCAGGTAGCAATCATATAATTGAATTTTGAAAAACCTGCACACACTGTTTTCACATGTTTACGAATATATATGAGCATGTTTTGTTATTCACCAACTCACTATGAATATGCGATTGTATAGATAGAAAAATTGATTTTTTATCCTTACAGAAAAATCCAACGGCGCGAATTTTCTTTTCAAACGTCATTTTGTCGACGCACAACGTACTCGGCCAACTTGTGCTTAACGAGTATTTATTTTTAATTATTTATGCACCCGAATTTGAACGTTGTGCGATATGTAAATTGAATATTGTAAAATAGACCGTCGTCCTGTTTTATGCGTGCGGTTATTGAAAACATTAAAAATAACTGCAAGCGCACGACACAAAACTGCAGTAAATCGTGTTGGTAGACGAAACACGACAACATCAGAAGTGGTTAATTAATTATTACAAGATACGCCGAGTCGTGGTTTTAATGATTTAACAGCACACGTTCAGTAAATTAGAATTGTAAATAATTTCGGAAGATTATATTCCCGAGGAAGCATTTTTGGTTATCCCAATTCATTTATTAGAAAACCGTTTGGCGACTATTGTATTCGATAATTTTTATTTTCTTCCTGATAATATTTAAAATAAAAATGATGTACGCCTTATAATAGTCGAGTTTTAATAATTATATTTCTATCAGTCTCATTTAAGATTAACGATTTGCCGTAACGAGTTTAATACAAAAATAATTTGAATATGTTGTGATATACAAAGCAATTCATTAAAGACAAGACACTTATTATCTTGGAGACTATTGAACATTTTAAATTGTTTATATTTTATAATTTTGAATTACATTGAAATGTATATTCGCTTTACATAAATAATACGCTTCTAAGAAAAATTATACATTTGTCATAAAAAGCCAATTTTTTCGTTGATTTTAATTATTATTATTTTTGGTTAATTATCATAATAATAATGTATTTAAAATTATTAGATATAAATTATAGAGTTTTTCGAATTAAACTATATTTTACTTTACAAAAATTAAAAATTTTCAATATTTTTAAGGATAATGAACGTCTTATTTTTAATTAATCACATAGTATAACACATCTACATCTTTAAAAACAGCTATAGGGGACGCACCTTAAATTTATATCACCATTAAAAGAATAAATTATTTTTTTATTTCTTAGAAAAATTAATTTTTTGTCAAATTATTGATAATTTATTAGTAGACACAGTCTTAAAAAATGTCGGACATTGTTATACTTTGAAAAAAATAAACAATATATTTCATTACTTAAAATATTGTCGAACTTGCACTATTTTTAGAAAACTATGTAAAATTATAATTTCAGCTATAACTCGGAAATAACTGAATATTTTTTAGCAAATTATTATTCTTTTTGTACTAATTTCGTTCATATTGAATTATACACACAAAAAAAAAAACAGGCCAATGATGTACTTACGTCCTATCATTAAAGATATCATATGGAATCGAACAGAATACCTTGTAAATAAAAATAAATCAAAATTATTTATAAAAAATTTTATTATATTAAATATAAAAATACGTCAATTATAAAATCATGGGTTTCCATTTGGTAAACATACAAGGTAACTTCAAGTAGTGTCGACTAGCAATTACTTAGTAGCTGTCGTGATGGTCGTAGTGGTGTTCGTAATGATGATCATGGTGATCGTGATGATGTTCTTCATATGGTACTGGAACTGGAACTTTCACGGGAACTTTAACTGGGTAAGGCACAGGCTTTTCTACTGGATATGGTACCGGCTTTTCTACTGGATAGGGCACGTGTTTCTCCACAGTGACTGGGTATGGACGGTCGACTGGAACTTTGACCGGATAAGGTACAGGTTTTTCTACTGGATAAGGCACGTGCTTTTCTACGGGCACGTGAACGGTGTAAGGTCTGTCTACTGGAACTTTGACTGGATACGGGACGTGTTTTTTGACTTCGTACGGAACGTGTTTCTCTACGACCACTGGGTAAGGTTTGGGCACATGAACTTCGTAGGGTCTATCGACGGGCACTTTGACTGGATACGGCACGTGTTTGTACACGGTGTACGGTTGAGGCACCTTAACTTTGACTTCGTACGGAACTGGCTTTTCAACGTGCACCGGGTACGGTTTTGGCACATGAACCGGATAAGGTCTGTCGACGGGCACGTGCACTTTGACTGGGTACGGAACGTGCTTTTCGACTTCGACGGGGTACGGTTGAGCTACTTCTTTGATGATGGTTTTGGACAACACCTTGCTGTGATCGTAGTGCTGATGGTGATAGTCTCCGCTGTATTCGGACTCGTAACCAAAATCGGATCCGTAACCGTAGCCCAAGTCGAACAGACCCCTCTTGCTGTTCTTCTTGTCGTCGGTGACCACCGCAGCGGTACTCTTGGTTTCGGCTGCCGGTTTGGCAGGTTCGTCTGCCCCGACGGCACATGCCCATACGGCGAAAACGCACAACGAGCAATAAAATATCCCCTTCATGTTTTCGAGGTTTTCCCAGTGTTGTTCGACTCGCAGTTGAGATCGATCGACTGATGCTGGTGCACAGGTGTGGTCCAGTTTTGTAGCGAATTCAAGAAAATAAGTCACTTGCACGCGGCTCCCACCTCGACGTTACCGGCTTCGTTACTGCCACCGCTGCCCGAGACCTACTTTCAACGGTGGTCAGATTTATCCTCATGATTTTTCGTGCGCATCGTAACATTGAAAAGTAATTGTCATTTTTTTAATAATTACCTGCAATCTGTAATTACATATTGTGTACACACATACTGTGTTTTTGTTGCAATACAGTGCTACTGTGCTTACACATTAGTTTGTGTGTTCACACGCGTGTGTAGTTTTTTGAACATTTTTATGTTCTATTAAATCTATTGTGACGATTCCATATCTCTGTTACTAATGGCAATCATTTATTTATTTAAGTATTTATTATAAATTTGAAAAAAACCCGAACGATATTATTATTAGCGTTGTATGATACAAAATTTAATAAGAATCACAAAAATATAGTCGTATAAATTCAATGCTTGCTTGGTGTACATTAGCACATATGCGATTATTTTACATGGTTATGTCAGGCCATGCTATATTCATTGTAAATGAGTTCATACAGTTTTTTTACTATTATCACGTGATTTATAACATAAAAAAAAACTGTTATAATATTTAAAAATATTTTATAACAAGAAAAAACAATGTAAAGATTTTCAAATACCGTTCGCTTAAATTTCAGTAGTATTGGGTACGAGGTATCAACTTGTATGACGAATTTTCATTTAAAGGTAATCATTCGTTCGAAATTTTTAATGATACTTAAGTAAAGAGCCGTTATTAGCAGTTTATTACCATTCGCAAAATATTTTCGATTTATGCCTATACGTTTAAAATAGGCAGGTTAATAATAAAATATAAGGGATTTATTTTGCTCTTAGTTTATTGAACCATATTTAGCGTTAGTATTTTTTTCACTTCGAAGGTTATATAATTTTTCAATGAATTTCTATCAATTAGATAAAGTAAAATTAATAAAAAGGATAATATTTAATAAACCCGTAATAATACACAAAATGTAATAGTCTAATTTATATATTGTATTTGTCATTATGAGAAATTTTAATTTTATTTATTAATAATAATTTTGATATTAAAATCAATTTGTGGATGTGTTTTCTTTTATTACCTAATAGTAGCAACTATTGTAAATGGGATCACATTAAAAGAGATTTATAGCTTGTAAGCAATAAAATGTAATGAAATACAAAACAATAAAAATAATTCGTACACTTGGTTAGCGGTTTCCCATAAAGATCTACTAATATATTCAGTTTAGAAAATGTATTACAGTATCTCTCAAACATTTCATAATTGAATATTTGAACGATCAAAAACTTCGAAATTATAAACAGATTAGTTATAAAAGTCAATGAATTTTTCAATATAAAGCAGTTTAAAAAAAATATTTTTGTATAAATTGAAATTACAAGTAACAACGCCTTTTAAACTATTACCTACATAAAAATCTTATTTGAAATGAGAATAACTACTATTATGGTCGATAAAATAATACTCATATTTAATCATGTTAATACGAGTTTATGTTATATTGAAGTTTAAAAATCAAAAGACATCTCGCCAATTACTGAAACTCTTATAGTATAATAACTAGCCAGCTATAAGTTATTATTGTAAACTTGTTTTAATATATTGTAACATTTTTAAATCTATTTAGAAAAAATTTTACAAAAACTTTTATTTTAGTCGAATCTATTCTTAATGGTGTGTTTGTTTAATTATTTGTTATGTAAGCTTATCATTTGAAAAAAACTAATTCAGTACCTATAGTTTAAAAGCATACTATATCACGACTTAAAACAATGGTTTTATCATATATATTATGTCTATTAGAAATTGAATCTTTTAGTTGTTATGTCATGATGTATTAAATTTAGACTTTATATAATAGTATCACTTAAAAAAAAAAAATTACTTAATTTTTATAATAAATTGGATTGAATGAAAAAGCAAGAAGAGAAAACTTGTAGATTTTTATAGATATATAATTTATAAAATGTTATGAATACTTATAGTCAATGTCAATACTAATAGTCATTTTTTAAATATCAACAATAATTTTTATCCAGTCTTCTACAAATAAAATATTGAATATTTCTTTTTTTGTAGTTTTTGACCTGAGAATAAAAAAGTTTTACATCATAGGACTTTTTCGTTTTGAGACATGTAAAAAAACTAATTAGATTACTATTTCATCCTAACCAAACTCTTGCAATAAAATAGTTCCAGAGTTTAAAATTAGAGGAGACGCTAGGAAACTTAGTCTCCTTACCCTGACAATGATTGACATGCATCCATTTAGGATTTATTTAAAATATAAATAATTCTTCGACGCTCAACATTTTATATGATCAATAGTCTCTTTTGTATATTTATGCCACTTTAAACCCTAAATAGTCCCATTGGAAATTCTAATTTTCACTATTATTCAATTTTTTATTATCCAATATTTCCTTAGACATAATTATTTTTTAGATATTTTTGATATAATTATGAAGAAAAAAAAACGCGATGGAACCTTTTCATTCTAAGTTGACGTGTTTTCAATTTTTTGAGAAAACATTATACACTTTGATTTAATTTCTAATTAATTTACGGGTCCATTACTAAGTAAATATTACTATTATCTATTTTATTTTTATAAATAATCTAGATATATAGTTTATTATTTTTAAAAATATATAATTAATAAAGTAATAAATAAATTTAACCTATTATTATACAAAATAATACTGTTCGTAATTATACAAAGCATATAAAAATATTATGAAAAAGCTATAATTATATTAGTTAAAGAAAAACAATAAAAATATATAAACAATAGACTAATAATAAAATAATTAGTCTTTTTTAGTTTTTATAATGAATGTTGATATAAAAATTTACTAAGGATTTACAATTACTCATAAAAAAATATGACTTAATAATTATTTATTAATTTAATAAGGTAGCAAAGACTAAATATATTTCATATTATCTGAGGAAGTAGTTAGATGTATTAATATATATTTATGCTGATTATTTTAAATACTAATTAAATTTCACTTGGATTGATTATTTTACCACTAAATCCGTGTAATTTATCAATAACTACTGTTATCTTCTTGGTTGTTTAGGTGTTTTTATTGTTCTCCGTCTACTATTTGTCGAGATTGTTCATTTTGATTTTCATAATTATGAGAGCCTTCATGATTTTGTGACACTTTTAATTAAAATGCTGTAGACTTTCATGATATTGTGATTGATGAACCTTTTCGTAGGGGACTGGTATTTCAATTTTAACAGGAACTTTTACTGGGTAAGACACTGACTGTTTTACTGGATAGGATATGTGTTTACTACAGTAAGTGGATACGGTAAATTTTTATATACGGTATATAGTTGAGGTACCTTAACTCTGACTGGGTACGAAACGTGCTTTTCGACTCCAACGGGATACGGTTGTGATACTTTTTTGATTATTGTCTTAGACAACACTTTGCTATGATCCTGTTGTCCATAATTATGGAAATCACGTTCACTTACTTGATGCCCATATCCGTATCTATTACTGAAATATAATCTGAATCAAAGCTAAAAAAATCCCTTTTTCCTCAAAGTTTGTTTCCCGATGCGTTTTCCTTAGATTCTCCTGTATCATTTGTTTCTTTTGGATTCAAACAATAAGTAAATAATGAAAATTTCACGAATCTTCTTCGTGTTCATCGTAAATATCAAAATAATTCATCTATTTACAGTAATTATAAATATTTTCGATAATAATGTACGACTACTTTTATGGGGTGTTTTTACTTAAACTTAACTTGTTATTAACATATGAATATATAATAATTCAAAAATATACGCTTTTTCAATGCTCGTAATAAAATCAACGTCCAGATTTAAACAATTTCAAATTTGCTGGCTTATATAATTACTATATAGTAAATAATATGTATTTTGATTATCTGGCTGCTAATAATTTGCAATTAACTATTATTATTTTATGATTTATTTATTCGTCGCTGGCCAAAATATTTTGAAATATTTCATATATAAGAGGCTGCATTTTGTTATACCTTCGACACATTTTTGTGATTTGCCTTAAGTTCAATACGTGTTTAATAACTGTTCAATCCGTTTTGTTTCTACGTGCAAACTACAAAAATAACAATGGCTGTTTCATCCGCCCAAGAACAATACTCTTTGGAGATGCAGCTGATTTTACTCGCAACCAATGTCAAGTACTTTGAGATGTACCGCGAATTTCAGTGGCTCTTTCCTCGGCGTTATTTCAAGAAAAATGACGATTTTGACAAAATGTCTTTTGCTGCTGATTTCCGTGAGATTGTCAATTTTACGGAGTGGAAAATGTACAGCGATCAAGTGTCGTATCAGCAACTACCGGCAAACGACATTTTTCAGCACGTTGTCGATTTGTCTGTTAAATCTGAAAGTGCGCTGCGTTTGTTATGTCCAGAAGATGAAAAGCGTTTCATGAAAATGGTTATATCAAACGACGCCGACTTATCTTTGGAGACGTTTGACGGGTATCAGTACTACTCAATATTCTCCATAGGCACTAGGTATCCGTTACAGTTCACCGAAGACGATAAACGTTTCGTCTTAAGAGGATGTCGTATGAGCGATGTCACTTCCTACCTGCTTGGTCAACGAAAGTATGACATAAACGCGACGCCGCAGTTGTCGAACGCCCTCAAGACATCCCCAGCTGCCAAGTGTTGCGGTAACAACAGTCTGGGCGATGAACTCAAAGCAGTACTCGTGTTCCGTGTCCCGAATAGATCTTATTGCCATAAACCGTTGGCAAAAAACGCGAGGCCTTGTTTTTTGTTGATATTATCCAAGACAACTCGAAAGGCGATCGCCAAGTGCAAGCCGGTAATGCGAGTAAAACCAACTCCTAGAGCTACAAATCCGCCGATTGTACGGCCTAGACAACCTGAACGTTTTAATCGTCGTGCCAGTAGAAGGGCTAGGCCTGCCAATTCATATATTTCTGTACCAAGTTAACCATTCCAAGTGTTACAAGTGAGATGACATCGTGGATACTAGGCAACTCAACATTTATAAATATTATGTATATTTTCTGTTGATAAATATCTCGATTTATGTTATCTGTGCAAGTACAGATTTTTTAATTGTTTATTACATTTTCATTTACTTTTTTGTATTTGTTATTTATTTTATTAAATCTGTATATTTGTTGAAAACATATTGTTGCCAAGTACATTGTTAAATATATATTTTTTATATTATATGTAAATATAACAATGTTATCAATTTTGATATATTTTTTTACAATAAACGTTTTTGATTATTAATCGGTTATTTTTTTTTATTACCTATATAATATACAAATAAATAACTACATAAAGGATTATAATGGAGCGATTTAAGTAAACTATTATTAATATAATAGTTATTACATTAAATAAAATTTTCTATCTTTAATAGAAAAAACATCAGTTGAGAATTAATGTTTCTTTTTATCTATATTTTTTAAGTTAATAAAAATCACAAAATTATTTGCGTGTTATTTATAGGATGATGAATTTGTGACTGTTAAAGTTTAAATTAGTCGTACTTCAGTAATTATTGAAGCCATCAATTCATGGCTGTATTAATATGATCTCGGTAAATTGTAGACCTTTTAAATCAATACAAGATTCTGGCTTTAGAAAAGTTGCTGATCTTCTTTTTACAGGAATTAGTTTTAAAGCAAAGTAATACGCGAATACTTAATGCACGTACTATTTATATTAAGCAACTTATCTCAAACGAGATAAAGGACAATTTTTTTTGTTAAAAAAAAGATTCGGCTACTCGCCATGACCGAAATATACTTGGTATTAATGTACAGTACTAAAAAAATTCAATTATTTTAATACGCACTTTAGCCATTATTGAAATTAATAGTAGTAAGTCTGTCAACTTGAAAAATATAGTTATTAATGTATTGGACAATTAAAATCTTAAGGCTGGAAAAATATTTTTTATTCAATCGATAACGTTTTTGATTGACAATGAAATTGTGGAAGATTATGACGATGTTTTTTTTTAGGAGAAGGAGGAAGAAGAAAACAAAAGTGAAATTAGTGTTGAAAATTATGAAAATAATGATTTATTAAATTTAATAAATGATGATTTAAATATAATTGACTACATCAATGAAGGTGCGAATATATTATCAGGTATCCGTTGTACAACTCACATACTCCAATTATCGATTTTAGATGTCCTTAAAAATAATTAAATTTCAAAATAGAGGAACAAAATATATAACAGGATAAATTAAATGATCTTATTAATTTAAAAAAATTATGTATGCGTCAAAATGTTTTTTAGTTTCAAAATAAATTTTATGAGCAAACTGAGGGCACAGTATTGGGAAATCTGCTATTACCAATTTTAGCAGAACTTTTCATGAATTTGTTGGAACCAACCTGTCGGTGTCAGTATGTGTTTAGCGTTGACAATGATAACATTATTTTCTAAATACGTAACCACGATTTTTTATTCATTTTTTTTTTTGTGGCTTTTTGAGTTAAATATTTTGTAATTCTAATTAATATTTTTAAAATCGTTTTAATTTTAAATAATATTAGCCACAAATGATCAATTTTTATTATACCTTAAAATATTTAAGTTATTATTATAATTAATGTGAACTTTATTTAATTGTTAGTATTTGTTGAGTAAAATTTTTAATTTAAGATAAAAAAAATTTTCTACCTATTAGTACGTAGGAGTATTATAGAGCGTAATTAATTACTTCTGAAATATCTAGGGACAATTAATTGAAGCTCTATTAATCTTATATTTAATTTTTTGGATAGTGGCCGTTAAGATAGTAATGTAATCCGGTGAAGGTATTTGCTGCTTTGGACTCAAAAGTCCAAGCACACATTCCAAATTTTTTAACATAACTTTAACTTATTAAATCGTGTATTGTCAATAAGCCCTACCTTGCTATTATCACAAGAATTTTCCATGCTATATTCTGCAAGGCTATAATTTAGCAATAATTATACCAAAAGCAATTGATTCTATATTCAATGTATACAATACATATTCCGATAACATATATTTTGTTAAAAGTCCTACTAACTATGCAACTATTTGTTAATAACACTTAATGTATGACTTTTTGAATTATGAATAATATAATAAAGATTATGATACAAAACAATTAAGCTTAGTTTAGTTTAATATTTGTATGGTACAGAACGCCTTTAGAAGGATCTAGTTGACCAGTTGTTACAAAGATCATTGAGAAAATTTACAAGAAAATTTACATAAATAAAATATTACGGTTTAAATTGTGGTAAATTTAAATTGACGTAAGCAAATAGGTATATGGTATATTAAATATTCTACATTGGATATTTTTTACTAATGAATATTATAATATTTAGAAATTTAATCTACCAAAAACTTTTCTTTGAACATTTACGCTCTAAGAATTTATAGTAAGATTAGATTTTGCTGAATAAAGATTACCTAAAATTTAAGAGTGAACTTAATTGAAATATCTAACTTATTAGCGTGAATTAAAAGTAAATAAAAAAATAAATATCTTTAAGTTTTAGCGACCATTATTTGTTTTCTCATATTTAAAAGTAATATTCTTATCCGGTTTTGTGATATTAATTTTTAAGCTTTATAAAAGGTAAGGAATGTTTAGTAAAGCTATAATGATTAATATAATGCACAAATATAAAATATTTAAAAAAAATTAAGTTAACTCAAAAAATAATAGTACAAAACTGATTATCTAGTTAATTTGACTAGTCAAAATTTTATAATTCTATCAAAAGTAGTTTTTGAATAAGACGAAACTCTTATTCACACAAATAAAAATTGTATTTAGTTCGTCACTAGTTTGTCACAAACACATGTATTTTCTTTATTTGTTGGTGTTACTTTAATCATGGTTTATACCTCTTATTTGTGACCGTTGACTAAAACACATAAAAAATATAAATAAGAATAAATATAAAGGATTTTAAAAGAAACTCACGTCAAATAAAACAAAGTAAAAAAATCATTTATATTTACAATATTATTTGATTACACTTAAACAATCACATCGATAACATGATTAAGTATATACATATATTTCAAGTAGTAAAAAAAAATAAGATACAAGATATTTGGTATGGACTAGTGAGAAAATAGTTTTGATTTAATAACTACTATGTTCTTCTTGTTCGTATTTTGATTGCGAATCTTCTTCGTGTTCATCATGATGATCATGGTGTTCTTCATATGGTACTGGAACTGGAACTTTCACGGGAACTTTTACTGGATAAGGCACAGGCTTTTCTACTGGATATGGTACCGGCTTTTCTACTGGATAGGGCACGTGTTTCTCCACAGTGACTGGATATGGACGGTCGACTGGAACTTTGACTGGATAAGGTACAGGTTTTTCTACTGGATAAGGCACGTGCTTTTCTACGGGCACGTGAACGGTATAGGGTTTGTCTACTGGAACTTTGACTGGATATGGGACGTGTTTTTTGACCTCGTACGGGACACGTTTTTCGACATAGACGGTATAGGGTTGCGGTACGTGGACGGGATAGGGTTTGTCGACGGGCACTTTGACTGGATACGGCACGTGTTTATAAACGGTGTACGGTTGAGGCACCTTAACTTTGACTTCATAAGGAACGGGCTTTTCTACGTGGACTGGATATGGTTTGGGAACATGTACGGGATATGGTTTATCTACAGGCACTGGAACTTTGACTGGATACGGTACATGTTTTTCTACTTCTACAGGATAAGGCTGTGCGATTTCTTTGATTATTGTCTTGGATAAAACCTTACCGTGGCCATGGTGCCCAAAATCTTCTGCGCCGACCTCGTGCTCGTAACCAAACTGCGAGTCCGAACCATATCCCAAGTCAAATATTCCTCTTTTGTTTTGCTTCTTGTCTTCAGCGGTCGTAGTGTCTTTGCTATTTTTCTGCTCTTGTTCCACACCAAATGCGTGGGCGCATAAACCGAAAGCGCACAAATAGTAAAAAATTGCCCTCATTGTAGTACAATTGAAAGTCATCGACTGATAACTAATGGACGTAGATGTTCCCTTTTGTACCTAGTAGCTGCTGTCAAAGAAAGGAAGTAAAATCTTTATCCCTCCTCTTTGTGTGAATTAAACTACTTTCGCTGCACTGGGTCAGTAATCAGTACAATTTGTAAAGAGTATTATGGCATTATGACAAACACACTGGATATATAGACCAGTTATGCAGTCAACGCGCAAGATGATTTTCTTTACATTTGTATCAAAATACACGATGCGAGCATTACACATGGATACGTAATACATTCATCTTCTTTAACCTATTTTCTCGTGTAATATGACTTAATGTAATTACTATGTATTCCTGTTAAAACTCGGTTAATTTCAAATGAAAAAGTTTTGCCGCATGAAAATATCATTTTTTCGTTAACAAGCTTGTTATTAGCAAGGCACTCACTAGCCGTCCCAACTCGTTTGTATAATAATTAAGTCATATCATTTAATTGATTCATATTTAGATATTACTAAAACAGCATTGTTATAGTTACGAATCTTAAAGATATAATTTAATTTATTCAGTTGACATGGTTGGAGTGATGTTGATTTTCTCGCGGAAGTAGCGTTGTTTGGCTGTAAAAATAAGATGCACCTATTTCATAATATCAGTTAGTATATTATTTGTTTTTTTACAGATCGATATTCAAATGAAGTATATTTGATAAAACTTGTTTTGTTTTTCTTCAAAAGAGTAGAATTCTCGGGAACGTTTCTCATTTTGTATTGATCATTTTTACATAATGATTAAATTACTCTTGCATAGAACTTTACTATTAATGAGCGTCATAAAAAATAAATTTATTCATTTGCTTGGTAGTACATACAATTTTATTGTCTTTTACTTTTTGTAGCAACTGGTTAGGTTTTATATAATTTGATCGCTATAACATTGCATAAAACATTTAATGAAACTATAAACAGAAATGCATTAATATGTAAAATTTGTTACAATTTAATTTTTTTAATTATCTCAAGTCCAAGAGTAGATTTGTAGTAAGAATTTATCTAAATCTAGTAACCAGTCTTTCTATGGTCTCATTTGTCATATGTTATTTTCGTGTATTACAAGTTGCGACATTACTAGATGTCTTTACGGCAACGCATAATAAATTAATTAGAGTGGTCGTCTGCGTTCATTGCTCGCGACGACAGTAAAGACGTAACGAGTGAAGGACCTCTGGTATGCATCGAATAAATAATTTGACGTTTATTTACATCACTTAAAAAACTACCGAAGACACTTTTCTAATACAGTGAAAATTAGTTCAAACCCTCTTTTAAATTTTTCTAGCGAACGAATATTTAATAGTTGGCTACTAATTTATTTTGAGTTATAACGAGAAATTTTTATAATTGCAGTGAAATAATATTTAAAAACTTTGTAGCACGTTTTGTAATCAAATTAGAAATATGGTATCTAAAAACTTTTGTATACTAAGTATTTATATTTTCATTTTTGATCTACACAATAGTATAATTTTATTAAAATAACAAATGTTATATCTTGTGATTCACATATAATCAGTATTTAATTGTATTTGTAAACATTTATTCGCATTATCTGATTAATTTACCAATGAAAATATTTACATATCTTTCATCTTTTAAATTTATGGATTATTAAAAATTTATTGAAATTATAAACTAGCGCTTAAATATTTTACTCTTAAAAAAAGTCTACACGTTTTCAATTTTACTATATGAAATAGTTAAAATTAAAAGAAAATTAATAATTACAGATTGACAAAATTAATTTATATTATACTAAAAGTTTAATTTTGATTTATCATAATTCTTTAAAAATTAATAAGTAAAACATCTAAATGAACTAAAAGTTTTCGTTTTTTTAATAAATAAAATTATTATATAAAAATTATCTATTGCTAAGATGTGGTGTTATAATAACGTATCAAAAAATAATATTGTATCCGAAAATATTTTATGTAACAATAAAAAAGTAAATTTCTCTTATTTCATCTTGTATATCACCTTCAGCTAATACACACAAACGATAATCTTTACATTACTTTGACACGTGAAACTTGATTTAATTAAGTTTAGTTTCCTTGACGTAAATAATAAATTATCAAATATTTGGAAACCAAGAAAATATTTTAAGGTAAAATTTATGTTTAAAGTAATAGAGTAATGTATTTTTTAATTCATAAAAATTTTACTATAATAGTAATAAAATAATATTGAACATAAAACGTCATAACTGGGTCAGATTTCCCTAAAAATTATAATTCCCATTTAAGGTCTTATAATTGTAAGTTTAGCAACGGGATAAATTAAATATGTTTCTTTTCGTAATGAGTACATTTAATTACAAGATTTACAAATTCTCATTATATTTCATTATTATTTTAAAGAACTAATTAAATCTTAATAATTACTTTGGTGGTTAATTAATGAGCAACTTGAAATAAATATTTAATAATTATTTTAGTCTTTAATATTGGTAGTTACCATGGCATATTAAATTAAAATATTAATTTAATCCATTTATATAATAGAGCAAAAAAAAAAAATCGTAAATTTTTATGAGTAGCTTGATGACATTTGAGAGTATATACAATAATACAATTATTTCAAAGATAAGGTTTTCGCTTTTAAAAAATAAAGTGGTGCTTGAATGTTTTTAGTGCAATTACATGACTTTATTATTTTTGTCATTAATTATTATTATTATTATTATTTTTGAAAATGGTATTCTTGACATTTTTATGGTTATTTACGAGTATCTTATCGAATTAATTTGACGGGAAATGCTTCGGAACACATTCAACGGGTCATTGCTAAACTGTTAAGTTGATTTACGGAGTATAATAATATGATTCACTTGTGTTAGAACAAACGGTAGTCACTACATGGCGTTTTTGAACAGTTTTAAGACATTTATAACTATAATTAACTCAGTAGGTGGACGAGTATATTACTCTTTGTCACAATATAATGGGTAATTCTTTCCAAAGCTATGAAATGATGCTGTGAAATTATCTACTAAATTATTTTCTATGTAACTTCCGTCTACACCGAGTTGTATTTCACGAATTTAGCTAAATATTCAATTTATTAAATAGTCAGTTGGTTACAAAGGTATTATATAGAGAATTACTCATTCTTAATAAAAATTCTAAAATAAATGAATAAAAAATATATTTTACTTATAGTTCATTGTATCAGATAATTAAAAGAATAATTTTAGAGTTATTTTACAAATTAACACCAAGACTTGAGCTTATTAAATTTAATATTTTTAATATTCATTGACGTAATATTCACAGGGTTTATGTCGTGAATTATTTACATAGGTAGGAAGCTGTCTTGTGTGGTATTAATCTCGTGCTACTTTCATATTAAGATATTAAAGTATATTTAACTAAGAGCGTAATCGACAAAACGAGTTATTGATAGATCAAGTTTTTTATTAATCAATAAATCTCCAAATCAGCTACTAAAAACTTTTCGAGTATACGGAGTGATTTATTTATTGTTTACCGCTCAGTTTCTCTTGAAATATTGAGAATTTTTTACTTGGTTTTTATAAATATTTTCTATTTCTTTATTTATATATGATCAAATATTTTTAAGCTCATACCTCTTCCCTTATAAGGATAACAACATTTTTTTTTGGATGACAACATACATAATACTTATTTAAGCAATAGAAAAATATTCAATTTAGTAAATGACTGGTACATAACAACATTTGTACCAATTACTTCGAAGTTTTTAATACTTTAAAACATAGACTAAATATGAGGCGCAGGTTGTTTTATTTTAATTATTATGAACTTCTCTGCTGCGCTACTCCTCTTGCTCAGGTACATAAACATTTATAAGTTCAAAAATACTTGTTCAAAGTTGTAAAACAGTCATTTGTTTAATTAGAATATTTTTTATTATATAAGATAGTTAAATATGTATGTCATTATTTGAAAATAATGTTGTTATCATTATAAGGGATAAGGAATGAATTTAAAAAATACTTTATAAAATCGAGATATAAATTATATTAAATAACGCCGATAAAAAAATAAATATATTTTCTATTGATTTGACAAAATACTCGTTGAATTAATAAACTTATTTTTTTTTTATGATAATTTTCATTTATTAATAACACACAAACAATTCGCTTAATTTATTTATAAATTATACAATTTTTGAAATTCTAGATTAAAAACTTTTGTGTTTATTTTATTCTATTTTTATATCTACAATAGAGTTTTTATTGTTTACATTTTTATTTACACACTCGCATAAAATAAAACTCTCAGATAAACCAAAAGTTTTTTTTTAAATACCAATATTTCTAAGATAAAAATTTGCTTTGCTTAATGAAAAACACATTTATAGTTCTTATGAGACACCTTGTGTTGTAGTTATATGTAATATTATGAATAATATTAATTATTTTAATATATAAAATAATAAAAACAAATAAGTCAATTTTATTTTTAATTTTTTACTTATATTTTTACAACAAATGAGTATATAAAAACTTTATTGAGGTGTTTCATTTAACACACTTAATTGGGCATAGTTAGCGGTTTTGCAATTAAATAAAAAAATTATTTAATTGAAAACGTACACATTGAGCAATAAAAAAAAAAAAAAACACAGAATCAACTTAACCTAATACGTAAAAAAATAATAATTTTAAGAGCGCGTGAACAAGTTAATACAATGCAATAAGTCAGATTTTTTTGATTTACAATTAAATGGATAACATTTGAGATCTTAAAATTGATTTAATTTTTGAATGAATAGTATACAATGATAATGTTTTCGACAATAACGTAATTAATTAAAATTATTTTACAATTTATGCTAGATTTTGTAAAAAAAAACACTTATACTTAGCTTGGATTGATTTGGTAACTGATCAGTACGTTTGTAAAACGTCAATGGACTCATCACGACAAATGATGTTATTAATATCCGTTGCTTCCGTGGTGGCTGCTGTAGGATGGTTCTTCATGATGGTATGACTTAACGGGGTATGGCACTGGAACGGAAACTTTGACTGGAACTTTGACTGGATAAGGCACTTCATGTTCTACTGGGTATGGGACGGGCTTTTCGACTGGGTAAGGGATTTTCTTGACGACTGGCACTGGGTATGGACGGTCGACTGGTACTTTAACGGGGTAATGGACGGGCTTTTCAACTGGGTATGGCACGATTTTTTCGACTGGAACATGGACTGGATATGGTCTGTCGACTGCAACCTTGACTGGGACGTGAATGGGTTTTTCTACTGGGTATGGAATTTCTTTGGTAACGTAAACTGGGTATGGTTTTTCGATGTGGACTGGGTATGGGTTGTCGACTGGAACTTTGACTGCTACTGGGACTTCCTTGACTACTGGGTATGGATGAGGGACACCGACTTTAACTGGGTATGGCTTGTCGACGTGAACAGCGTATGGTTGAGGTACTTCTACTGGGTATGGTCTGTCCACGGGTACAGCGACTTTGACTGGATATGGCACGGCTTTATTTACTTCAACTGGATATGGTATGCTAACACCCTTGGTGATTACTTTTGTGGGTACGTGATGATCGTGTCCACTGCTGTAGTCAAGACCGCTGCCGTAGCCACTGAGACCACTGCCGTAGCTGCTGAGACCACTTCCATAGCTGCTGAGACCACTTCCGTAGCTACTAAGTCCACTGCCGTAGCCACTGAGACCACTGCCGTAGCTGCTGAGACCACTGCCGTAGCCGCTGAGACCACTGCCGTAGCTGCTGAGACCACTGCCGTAGCTGCTGAGACCACTGCCGTAGCTGCTGAGACCACTGCCGTAGCTAAGACTGCTACCTAAGTGGGGTCCATTGCTGTAGCTGTAGCCTAATCCACTTGCGTAGCTACTGCTGTAGTCTAAACCACCGATGCCGCCGTAACCGTAGTCGGTGTCGTACAGACTTCTCTTGCCTTGGCTCTTGTCGTCGATCTTCTTAGTGTCTTTAGCGGCGTCTTCAGCACCCAAAGCGTAGGCGCACAACCCGAATGCGCACACTGCGAAAATTGCTCCTTTCATTGTGTTGCTCGAATAACAGAATGGTACGATCGAATGAATGCTGTGTATTGAAATCCGCTGGTTTTGTAGTGTCCGAGAACGAACCCGTTTTGCGCTCCCACCCCGCCGTAGATACCGTGAGACCTACTTTCCATTCAGTGTCATAGAACAACTTTTTTTCTCCTTCGTAAAATATTACGGTAATAATAATATTAATACGATCTTCTCATACATAATACCATCGTGATAACTGCACCGGGAAGAAACGGTTACAATTCGCTAAAACTCGACAAGGTCATTTGTGTTATTATCATTGCACGTGTTATGTATACGAGGCTATATGGAACAAAATATCAAGTAACCATCGCCAATTTCGCACAGTGGCCATCGATTCTTTTAATAGACGTGAAGTTTTGTTGGTTTTTAACAAAGTCTACAATTGCATTATCGTATTAAAATGTAATTACTAGCTGATTAACAAATTATTTTGGACCGATATTCCCGTCGATTGATTTTTTCCTACGTTTCTCTCGCGCATTTCTAAATGACACATGAATGGGTACAATCGAAACAAAAATGCCGATATGTTAGCGTCAGACAACAGTGAATGAATTATACTTGTTGTACCGATCAATTGGCGAATTGAAATGTAGTATACAATGCAAAACTGTTTTCTATTGATTAACAAATTGTATTGTAAATTTATACTGCTGGATGCAACGGTCAATGTACGCAATTATGTGCGTGACCTATAAGACACCTTTGTATTATTCCAAACGTTATAATTATCGGCATGTTGGCTTTATATTTGCAATTTTGCGTTCCGATTGAGCAACTAACGGCTGAAACAATACACGAATTTTCGTTGCAATACTTTGCGTAGACGCCCTAGTCCAACGACAATTCGACCAACGGCCAATCTTATTACACGTTCAGATACTATTATGGTAAAAAATCCCGTGTCGGCACCATTACGTACATCAATGAGGACAAAAATAATCGCATTTAGACTGCTCGAGGACAAGTGCACGTTAACCGCACGGACGCTTTTCTATGAGCAAGCAACGGCATTTCCGTTTCTATGTGCACCCGAATCCACAGGGACAGACGTGAAACACCGCTGGTAATTTCACGGCCCTTTATTGAAATAATTTGCTCGTTGATTGACACATACACTGCTCTCCCTATGACCCTTACACGTCGAGCGAGAGTCATTCGATTTGAACTCCCCCACAGCTCGGATTTTTTCCAAAGGGATCCCGATGGATTTTAAATTCAAACCGCGCGCTTGCACTTCAAGGGAATCTCTTCGTGCCGTTTTAATACAGGTCGTCACAGCGACGCCACGCCGGTCATTACCGAGGTCAAATCTAATCGAGAAGCGTATGACTAATACCTGTTTGACAATGCCTGTCGTGTGCCCACTTCCGATAATAGTATTCATATTGATCAACAACCCTCGGCCAAGAGCACTACAATTTTATATCTAATACTGTTTGCGTAGAGCATAATGCGTTTTGAACTGGTCGTTGTAGAAAAAAATTTAATAATTTCTACTAGGTTTCTAAATGCATTTTCGTAGGCTTGTTTCGAACAAGAACCTGACTGATTTTTAATAATTTTTCATTAATAATTACGAATTCCGGTCATTCTAGTCGTTGTATGAAGTAACCTTTTTTCTAAAAACTAACCAATATTGAGTAAGCGAGATACACGTACTCTGTTTCGCATCGCTATCAGTTATATTTCTTTTACATGATGTGGAATTTATATGAAAACAGTATGAAATAAATCAACACATATTTTGTAAAATATGCTTTTTTTGAAACTTGTATAAATAATTATGTTTTTACTTACAATTCATCGTTGTTGATTATGTAATTTCATATTACTACATTATACAATGTCTTGATATGTTTGAAATTAATATTTTATGGTTTTGGTTAGTCATATGCAGTGCTCGAATTGGCCAAAAATAAGTAGAGGAGCTCAACTTAACAATTTGAAAACTGCGTCCCTAGTATTTTGAAGACCTTTTTTTTTTTTTTACTCATTACTTTATTTAGTATTTATTAATAAATCATATTTCATTATCATACTAATATTTTAAAAAAAAAAGAGGTGGTATTTTCCACCGTCCTCCCGTCCCAATAAAAAAAAGTAGTTGGGGTGCGCAAAAAAATTTAAAAAAAAGTAGAGGAGCTACGTCCCCCTGCGCACCCCCCAATTCGAGCACTGGTCATATGGACTAACTTCTTTAAATAACTGAAAAATGAAGACTAGTGTCTAGCGTAAAATTATAAGTGTATCCATTTATTTTTTTAGAGTATTATCTCTTTAACTTAAATCAATGACTATTACTTTCAAGTTCTATTTCATATAAGATATTTGTTTAAAAAAACTACTTTATCTAGTAAAGTTGCTACAGAGTCATTCATTAATACCTCTATAAGGTCAATCTAATGACTACCCACAAAACTATGTTCTTTGTCATATAAAATTTAACAATTATACTTATTTTTGCAATAAATGTATAACTAGCAGGTACTATTTCGTTATAAAATTATTTATCGCTAACCCATCATTGCGATAGGTTTAATAACACATATATATATTTATATATAAATTTCTAAAATTATTAATCAATTAAATTATGTAAATAAAATTTATTTTAAAGAATACAGATAGTATTTGTTTTAAATTTTTACTATTGTTTACCTATAAAATAAAATTTACTTCACAATTTTAAGCTAATATTATGTATTTAATTTTAAAAAGTTATAAAATTTAAAAGTAAGCTAAAATGGTTCGAACGTTAATATAAAATTTAAATAAAGTATAAGCTTTAAACTAAAAATAGAGAAATAGTGGTTTATGATATCTGCTAGTTTTATTTAATTATTATTTAAAAACAACTTATTAGTTCTCTTAGTTTGTTTCTTTTACAATAAAACGTATGAAAACAATTGATATTTCTTATCTTTATCTTTAGTACTAAATTTTTATGTTTCTAACAAGGGTTGCAGCAATTCACATGGCAAATTTAATTTTTGCTTTGCATCTGTTACAATTAGCGGGCGAAAGAAGAAATGTAATCGGCTTAGTGCCACGATACAACGAAGCGCGACAAATAAAACGGATCAACACAGTGCATTTTGACGGAAAATATATTAATAAATAAAATGAAACGAATATTAGTGAACGGTAAAAAGAGAGAACCTAAAGAAGCAAAAGGGCAATCCTTGGTTTTGGAATGAGACAACTGTTTGATGTGCTGTGTCATCGTTCATTGCGCCTATTATTAAACCTTATTCCCTACCCGACAACGCTCAGTCTGTACACATGAAGGAGTACATATACGATTGTGGGGGATAAATATAATATAAAATAATCATGAGGTGCTCAAAAAAATTTGGAGATTAAAAAATAATGTATTACGATAATTTTTTTTTCCACAAAAGAGATGTAAAATATTTCTTAATACAATCCCGTAAATAGAAGGTGATCTTGAGTTCTAATATTATCGGAAGCATCATATTTTAACTTAAATAATTATATAATATATTCTGTAAACACAATCCTGTAATTCGATATATCTATGGTTGTATTATAGTAACATTCACATAATACACATATTATATCAATGATAAGAGCATATATAAGGTAAAAAAAGACATCCACGGTTGACCACAAATGCCATAATATAGAACAAGGTTAGAAAAACGTAATTGAAAATGAAATAGTCATTACTGTTTAGTAGATTATTTTCGCCAATCATTTAACTAGCAATACTACCGCTAGTTTATCCTTTTTTCAATATATAATCAAGATTTTTAATTACATTGATTACTAATTTATTGTTTTTAATTTTATCGTAAGGAAAAACATTAAATATTCTCACATAAAATTGATAATTTAAAAAATTATTAAAAATTTAAAAGTAATTTAATGAATGCTAGACGAATTTTAGACTAAAATAATGTAATATATGTTATTTTTACTATGAAATCAATTAAGCGTCATCATTAAACCAAAAATTCATAAATTATACATTATTTTTTAAGTTCTATATTTTCTCTAGTAAAGTAATTTAGTAAAGTATTAAAAAAAATTTAGTACAAAATTAACAGAATGATGAAGTAAATAAAACTATGAATAAATACTTATTACTTGTATAACTTAGCAAAATGTTCAATTTAGGTACTATTTCTATGATTACACATAATGTATGTACATCATCATGTAATATTTGAAACGTTCATTAATATTTCGATGTTATTTAATTCATAACTATGGATTCATATATAAGTTTTTAAAATAAAATTTCTATCAAATTAGAATTAATAAAAGATAACCTAGAGTGTTCATTTTTTTAAATCCTTATTATAGTGCAAAGTAATCATTTTGAAATAATTAATACAAATTTTATAATAAACATTTATTTAACATTGTGTATATAATTTCAACAATTATTACAAATGTATAGTCGCTTCATTAATTACATTATTTTCATCTTGTAATAAACATTTTTAGAAAATCGCAATACAATTTTATACAATGAAGATCTTATGTAATAAGAGATGAAATTTAAAAATACATTAGGCTAAACGTAAAAATATTTTTTATAACTATTTTATTATTTTTTTTTAATTTTATGTGTTCAAGTAAAAAAAAAAACTTGAATATTTAACAACATTTACTTAAATGACTTTACTTCTTTTTTTCGAGGGTGATTGGATCACAATCTATATCTGCAGCAATGGCTTCAGTAGCAATGGCAGTTGGTAAAGGAGCCATATGAAGTTCTGGTGCTGGTGCTGCGAATGTTGGCAATGGTAAAGCTGGCATGGCTGGTTCGATGAATCTGGCGTTAGCAATAGGTTCTTCACAGTCAATGGCTTCTAATTGAGGAGCGATAGCAATACGTTGTTCTTGAATTGGCATTGGTACTGGAACATGGACTGGAACTTTGACGGGGTATGGCATTGGTTTTTCTACTGGATAAGGAACAGCTTTTTCAACTGGGAATGGGATATGTTTTTCTACGGTAACTGGATATGGACGATCGACTGGAACATGAACAGGGTAAGGCATTGGCTTCTCGACTGGGTATGGGATACGTTTTTCTACTGGAATATGAACTGGGTATGGTCTGTCGACTGGAACTTTGACTGGGAATGGGATGTGTTTTTCAACTGGGTATGGCACGTGTTTCTCGAGGTATACTGGGTATGGTTTTGGTACATGAACTGGGTATGGTCTGTCAACTGGCACTTTGACTGGGAATGGCACATTCTTGAGTACTGGGTATGGTTGTGGAATTCCAACCTTAACTGGATAAGGCACAGCTCTGTCAATGTGAACTGGGTATGGTTTTGGTACATGAACTGGATATGGTCTGTCGACGGGTACAGCAACTTTGACGGGGAATGGGATGTGTTTCTCTACTGGTACTGGGATGGGATGTGCAACTTCCTTAAGAATAGTTTTGGAAATCAATTTTGCTTGTGGTTCCAACCAAGCTCCACCATAACCATAGCCTTCTCCGTAAGTTAAAGCTGCGGGAGCGGCATCAATACAATCATCAGCAGCCCATGCTGTTGTTTTCAAACCTAAACCTGGGTTCAAGCCAATAGCTGGAGTTAATGCAGCACCAGCAGTCAAAGGAGCATTCCAACCAAGAGCTGAACGAAGACCATAGTTCAATCCATAGTTTAATCCAAGATGTCTTTTGTTATGGGTTTTTTCTTCTCCTTTGTCTTCATTAGCCACTGCAGCAGAAACGATGTCTTCTTTTTTTTCTGCGGTTTGAGTCTCGGTGACCGCGGCAAATGCGCTAACACAAACACTAACGACACACAAAGTATACAAATAACCCTTCATGGTGTTAATATTATAAAATAAAATTTTATAATTGTACTATTGTTGTTGTTTGAGTCAACAAAACGAATGATTCCAAACCATCAGGGACTGCTCGTTTTGTAGTCTCAGTTTTCCGAAATGGAAGTGGACAATTCAGTAGTCTCCCGCCTTTCGAAGCATTTGTTGTTGGCCCCGGGATTGTGCTCGAAGCCTTTAGGAAAATACAAAGAGGGAGACCTACTTTCTATACCGGTAAAGTACGGAGTACTTGACGTTTAACGAATCATTACTCAACAACATTGACATTAGTGCTAATACTCTCATTAATGTTGTTGTTCTTACTGTCATTTGTTACAATACGTGTTGACATTTTATTTATCATTACCGGCAATCCAGTTCGATCAGTCATAATTTTTAATCGATTAAAACATATACGCTTTTTAATTATTTTTCGTGTTCTTTAGTATTTTATGAGTTCTTCTAATAGTAGGAACAGTTACATCTAAATTAACAACTAAAAAATATTTAACTCAACGTAATTAAATAAAAACATATTTAAAAATTATTATTGTTTAAAATTTATTTAATGTTTCAATAAATAATTTTCTTGTTCGATTTACAGTGAAAACGTAAATGAGTGATTAAATGGTGCTAGAGATTAATGAATTAAGTTTATAATTATCAAAAATTAATTTTAGTTGATTCACATTAAAAAATATTTTTATATAATTTTTATTATTATTATCATCTTAGCAGAGCTCATAAAAAATATTCTTTCATATATGCGTTTTTTTAATTTATGGTAAAAGCAGAACATCGATTATACTTATATATTTTTTTCTTTTTAAAATTAATACAATAATCCTAGTCTTCATTAGATATACTTTAATTTTTTTTTATATTAAAATTATTTAGCATATTTTTAACTTTTATTATAAAATATAACTAAGAAAAAATTGCCGTCCTATTATTTTTTGGCTGACTTTCATACATTTGCTAGTATTATGTTAAAATATTTGTCAATCGTATTAATAAAATCTTACAAGATATTTTAATCCTACTCAAATACTAATAAAAAAATGCATATTCTATGTCATAATATGTTAATCATTGTAATCATACAAAATTATCGATTATCATTATAAAAGTGTTTTATATTTAGGCTGTAAACGTCTTAAGTATTTTTTACAATAATAGGAAAATTTCTTTTACATTAATAGATCTGAGTATAATTATACTTTATAATACAATATGAAGTATTAAATGAGTTCTGCATAGGACAAGAAATTAATAACGTTACAGTTATTTCGTTTAAAACAAAAAAAATTTCAAAACGTAATAAAAAAACTAAAAATAAATCTAAAATATGTGATATTAACGTAAAATATCGTGAAATGTAATATATACTTATAATTCAAAACAATTCTTATTAAACATTATATAAAAAGAAATTCTATGTCAGAAAAATTTAGTCATTGCCCATATTAAAAATTGTAAAAATGCTATTGGTAATGAATTATGTTTTAAACCCATTTAAAATAACGTAAATTTAGTAATTTTTAAAAGTTAAACGAAAATATTGAATAATGTTTTAATATTAAAAACTTTAAACTAAATTATAAGACCTCAAGTTTTGTATCATTTATTAAATAAAAAAAAAATTTAACGTGCTTGATTTAAAAAAAATTTGTGTGATCAATAACTATAAAATAATAATTAAAAATAATGTTAATGGTTTTTTAGTAATGTAAAGTGTGTTTTATAAGAATATACTAGAATAATATCAATCTTTTATCAAATCTTATGAAAAAAAATTAATTCGTGGTTCAAAAAGTATTTTCAAAATATTATTTTTTTTCCAATTATGATATTGTGATGTAAAATTTTTAATTGAAAAGTTTGGTATTATTTTTCAATTCATTAAAACAGTAAAAAAATAAATTAATTAAAGATAATATCAGTTATTAAACATGATTCATTGGCTTATTAGTGTATATTATACGCTGGGTATACACTAATCCAAATTATTATTTATGTAGAAGCACTGATTAAAATACAATTTATAAAGACAATTATAAAATACAAAAAGCAATTTCTCTTGTAATTTCTATACTTTATAGTGTATAACATTTTTCATAGGTCATATTTATTACAAGGTGATAATTTGCTAGAGGCGTATCAAATTTTCTACGACAGAAAACATTACTATAATCGACTACAACTCTATTCTCTTTAATATTTTGAATAGATATACTCATAAATGTTACAAAGAACAATGTGTTTTTGATATTTGACAAACAAATTACGGGTAATATAATTCTCAAAACTAACACATTATCCATGAATTATTGTTTAATGCATTTTCACTACACTAAATAATAATTCTTGTAAATAAAAATAATTTAAAAATGAATAATTACTGTCTATAATTGAATTTGGTAGGTTTAAAGGCATTGTTGTAATGATAATTTATTTATTTTAAAAATCATAGTTTTAACAATAGTAGAAGTCATTTCACATATTAAAAAATTTTTAGGAATGAAACAACTTTTTTTTAAATATATAATTAGTTTTTTAATACTAAATTAAGCCTAGCTTACGACACAGTCCTGGTGCCTTTTGGGTTGTCCTTACAGATTGGACACTGATTCCGATAGAAGTACACAGTTATACAGGACACGATAGTTGTTGTGCAAAAAAAGTAGCTCTATAAGCAGTTTGAAAATAACTTAGTCCCACTTGTAAATTCAATAATAATATAACTACATAATACTTAGAGGTATTCACAATTATACTTTATAATAATCTACTTATTACTATTTAATACAATGGGTAGACGAAACAAAAATTAATAATCATTAAAAACAATATTTAAATGCCGTATTATTAGTGAATGTTACATAAACTTACAAAATCTCAAACAATATTTAGATGTTAAAAATAAAATCATATCTTATTATAAAGTATGCGCGTAGACTTAAAAAAAAAAACCCATAACTTAGTTAAAAATCAACAGATTTCAACAAAATGTTTACAGTACCTTTGAAATGTCCCTAAGCAGAGCTGGTAAAAATGTTAGGTTTTAAATAGAAAAACGCTGGCGGTAATCAGGATGTTTGATTAAATTTTTAATTTATAAAATAAATAAATTCATCTTAGCGAATAATTTTTGTAGAATAATATAAAGTTCTTTAATTCAAAGTAAAAATTTTGCATCGTTTATTTTTCCAGCATTGTCTAATTTTTCAATGTTTCATTATATAATGAGATATTTTTATGCTTAAGTTTTATTATTCATTTTCATAGTACTCATATCTTTTAATTTTATACAATGCATTTGTTGGTGATGTTTGTAATTTAATAAAACTTAAATTTAATTGCAAAAAAAATTTTTTCAAAGATATTTTTATAAAAATACAAAAACGACTGATTTATAGTATAACATCATATTAGTATAACAATTTCTAGTCTATATTTTATTTTGTGTTATTTAAAATCAATCAATTAATATATTAATACCTAAATTTTAAAACTGAATAAATTTTTTATCTATGTTTAACGACATTCATTATTTTCAATGTCTTGAGGTTTCATATTATTGATTATTAGAAAATTACGTTTACTTTCAATAATTTATTTTATCAAAATGTACTTTTAACATAAGATGATCATCAATAAAGTAATATTTATTACATAATTAATTTTGTTTCTATAAAAATATATTCTCATACACTTTAAAATGTTTTTTCAAAAATTATATCTAATTTATATCCATCAAAAAAATAATTTTAAGGTTTAACTAAAAAAAGGGAATTGAAGAACACAATATTATAACAAGACAACTTTTACATCATGTTATTTTTTTGTTAAGTTTATATATTTCATATTTAACTTAGATTACTTTTGAATATTATTTTCATAATTATTTTGAAGGTAATAGACTTACTTGTTATATGCCCTCGTCATATTTTGAAGTATGAAATTATAAAATTGTTATTTTTAATTATTTTTTCTATCAATAAATTTGTTTTTATTTTTAATATTTAAGTTAGTATTTTATATCTATAATAGACCTTTCAAGTTACTTTTTAAGTGACTTTTTTTCAAGTAACCAAATTTTATACTATAAGAAGTTATTGTAAGTATACAATGTAAAAATTTATTCATACTTATATTTTTATAATTTTTCTCATGGCTGTTTAATGAAACTTAAATATAGGTGTACTAAGGGAAAATGTTGATTTTACAGACATTAATTTTAGACGAAACATTTGTCTTTATAATTAATGGATTGAGGTCATACACTGCATGGTGTTATCATGAAATTATTTATAAGAGGAAACGCTAAATTTTTATAACGTTTATAGTAACTCATTAATATGATTTCAGCCATTTTTCCCACTTTTTTTTCATTTCTCCTCTTGTTTTCCACTCAAATTTATCTCTCTTCACTTGATTGCTGGCTATATATAACTAATAAATAAACGTAAATGACTAGGCCTTTGAGTTTCAGGCTGTTAGTGATAAAAAAGATTATAAATTACAAATCCATTATAAACTATAATCATATAATTGCCGCTTATACTCACATAGATAAAAGTAATTTTAAACTTAACTAGATAATGATACATCAATGCATATTGCAGTTTCTGTTATAAGGAAATTACAACTTTTTGTTTAACATAATATATTTTAGAGTTAACTATTTTGGGTCGTTATGGCGATATATAATGTTTAATACAGCTATTAAAATTTCTCTTTTTGAATATTTAATAGAGGTTTAGAATTATTGCTTTATAAAATGGCATCAACTAATGATTCCTCTTTCTTGTCATACGATACGTGGTCTACTGATGATTCAATTACTAAAGTTACTGTAAGCTATCAAGATTATCTATATTAAATATTTACTAATGTCACTATTTTAATCAGACCACCAATGAAAAAATTTGTTCATTTCCGAATTTGTCAGATAAAGATTCTATTATTTGGCAAGTCGAAAGTTTACCACCTCGTATAGGTAATGTAATTTTGAACTTTTTATGATGAAAATTATTACAATTTAAAAAATATATTTACACAACAAGATTATTTAATGAAATATAGAAAATTTATGATTTTATTTTTTCAATAATTTATATTTATATATTTTTTAAAAATTAAAAATGAATAGTTTTGAACTATCTATAATTAAACTTATTTATATGCTTAAAATAAAAAGTTAAATAAGAACCCATTCTACATTTTGTACTATTTAATGTTGGCTGGTTGATAAACAATTTTGTTTTATTACTTTTTGAATTACTTAAATTTTTAGTAAGAGGTGGAAGGGGTGTTTAACGTTATACAAATTTTTATTTGAGCGTTATGGTAAACACTGAGTGTGACTAGCATAACCTTGCTCTTCGCCTTGTCTTATTTTCTAATATTAATACCTGAAACAGAAATATTACAAAATTAGTTATTAGTCAATTAAAATGTTTTCTAATTCATTCTCTAAATAGTATCAAAATAATTATAAGTCCCTTATTTAACTTTTGATAGCTACCTTTAAAATTTTTCTTAAAAATTATTTTTCTTATAATAAATTGGACATTTATCATTAAATCATATATTCATAAAAATAAATAAAATTTCATTTTGTACAATTTTATGAAATAATTATTAACCAACAAAAACAATGGAGGTAGATTATTAATAAGTCGCACAATACATTTTTGTCAATATTGAAAGATTAAGTTTTTATTTTTTTCTTCAAATGAGTAGCTAGTTGTTAGTCGTTTATTGCATTAATTTTAGTACCCAATGAAGAAAACTGTCCATCAGTAGCTCGTGCAATGAGCAAAATGAAAGAACAAGCATCAAATAATATATTTAATATTGAAAATGACATTAAAAATATTAATAATACTATAGAAAGTCAAATTTTAAATGCATCAAATGCACTAAAAAAATCTTTAGATGAGTTAGACCATGAGATGTCAAATATGTTTGACAGGTGTGCGATGGTAATAATTTTGATATTATAAATATTTTGAAGTATTAGCTCAACTAGCATTCCTTGGATAGTAAGCCAATTTTATGGTTTGTTATATCCTTTCTATTAATTTTGTTTATGTAGTACACTTAAATAATCTTATAATAATAATATTTCTATATATTTTTTAACTCCAAAGGAAGAGTACCAAAAAGTAGATACATTAGTTGGGTTGTACTCTAATGCAGATGAACTAGTTGTTTTAAGAAAGCAATACATAAATGATTTTATGGAAGTTTTGCATAGCATAGAAGCAAGGCGAACTCAGTTGTTAAAACAATGCTATGAACAGTCAATAGAACCAATTAAAAATTTACCCTTTGGAGCTTATGATTACATCTATGAACACTTTTTAAAAGTAGTAGTATTCAACCTTATTTTTAGACTTATTTTAAGTGTTTTTATACTTTTGAAATAAGAACTACAATGCAATAAAGCTAGGAAATTTTCGAGCTTATGAAAATGTAAGAATTTATTTGATCCAACAAAGTAATGTATCATACATAGATTTTTTGAAAAGAATTGATACAGTAAAATCAACCATCATAGAATCTATTGGAAATAACGTAAATGAATCATTTAGGTATTAAGATTATTTTTAAATTAATTAATTAATAAGTCAAAACTTTAAAAATGAATTTATGAAATTAACTTAAAAATATGTTGTAGGCATTTTATTCAACCTATTATAAATGATAAACTTACATATTTTATAGAAGATTCTATTAAAGTTTTAAATTCAATAAATATTTTATTGGATAAATTATCAGAAAAATCTGAAAAACATATTGGTTTTGCATATGTTATAGAATGTGCAGAGAAGTTTAAATTATTTATTTTAGCAATTGGTATTATTGTAATATTATCAAAATAAACATTTTTTAAACATGTATATGTATTTAATTTAGATAAAATAATAGAATCTATGACGTCATATTTTTATAAAATATCTGATGAAATTCAAAAAATGTATTTAAAACATATCTCAGACCTATATATGAAATTAGATATTATAGTAGATTCTTCATCCTTACAAAAACTTTCAACAATCAGCACAAATATAGCAGATGAAGCTTTTGTTATAAGTAAAACAAAGTCGGTGAATATTTTAACTTTACAAAATTTACTGAGAAAATTAAAATACGTTGTAAAAGAAATAGATATATTATTAACCCGTTCAGCTCAAATTATACATAACCATTCAAAACGAGTTACAAAAGCCAGACAAATTATACTATTAGCCCTGAAAACTACATTTTCCGAAAATGATTTATTATTAAAAGTAATCTATTTTTAAAATATTGATTTACTGTTTTATCTAATAAATTAGTTTATCTATATCAAATTTTGTTTTGGTACACATTGAAAAACTATTTTAGAAACCGAAAATATTACGAGACCGCCTTTAAAACCTTAATTGAACTTGACTTATAAAAAATTTTAATTTGATTAAAGTTATAAAAGCGATTTCATAACATTTTTTAGCTTTTAGAATTGCTAATCTTATAAATTCTTAAAAAAAAATACAACGAAGGCCAACTAACACACTAAATATGATAAAAATTGTTTAAAAAAGCAAAATCAATTTGGTTTACTGAAGTCAACCAGTGTTATGGGCAGCGTTTTTTTCAATTTTAACAGCCTTAATGAAAAATGAACTTTTAAATAAAAGTATTTTGAATTACACTATTTAGTGTAATTCATAAATATTCTATAATTTTATAGAATAAATAAAATAATTACAATTATTATTTTATTATTAAATAAAAGTAAAATGTTATTAACTATATGAAAAGTTTCAAGTTATACATTATTATTTTAAATTAAACAGAATTATGAACAAAAATGTTCGATGGTATTTGATATGCTAATTGAAGCCTCAGAAGAGTCTGACGTGTATAAGCTTGAACAAAAGTGCAATAGCTTTTTGAACGTTATTTATAATATGTAATCATTTGTAAGTTGTAAAGCCTAATCGTTTCGTGAAATTATAATATTATTACAGAATACATGCTAATTATAAAAATGAAATAAAAGTTATTACTGAATATAGAGATCTAATGATAACTGAATTAGAACTTGTAAAATCAGAAGTTGAATTGGTTCTAAAATTATGCCAAAAAAAAGAATTCAATGAATTTAAATTAATTTATGAAAAAATAGAACTGTCGTCCTATATGGAAAACATTATTGTTTCATTTAATGAAGCGTCATATAAATTTATTAAGTCGTAAGAGAGTTACTTAGAATTTTTTTGTTTATATGGTAAGTATTAATATAAAACTAATATTACAGTCTCAATGAATATCTCTTAAAAATAATTGACGACTTAAAATCTGCAAAATCATTAGATGTGGAGTGCAACTGGATCAAAATAATTGAAGTCGGTGTGAACCATCGACATGAAGTCTCTAAAAAATTACATGAACTCAGAATGAATAAAATTAGAGACGGAGTTGTTACTAAAAGAATAGATGAAATAAAGCAGCACAAATATCTCCTTGAACGACATACAACAGTTAAATTTATTTTCCGACTATCTTAACTTAAAACTTATTATTCAGTTGCATTTTTATAGATTGCAAATGAAATCAGGGAAAGTTTACATGAAGAAGTTAAAATTATCTTTAAGCGACACGATGAAGAACTTAGATATATCAACGATAATGTAAAATTAATAATGAGAGGAATGATATATTTATCAATAAATGAATTGAATGAAATATTAGCAGATTTTAATACTCATATCAATATGGTTGCTTATGAATTCCATAAAACATGCAAAGACTTATTGAGTACTGTTGATACAGAATATACAATGATAATTGATTCAACAGTAGGATTTATAAAGTCAATCAAGTATGCATTTAACAATTATTTTAAAAATTCCTTCAAAAATGCTCAGTTTTTCTGGTTTTTAAATTATAGAATGTTTCCAGAGGGAGGTAATTATGGAATTGATGAAGCTAAGAGTAATCTTGAGACATTAAAATTCTTAAATGAACAAATAACAGAAGAATGGAATGAACTAGCTAATATGTTAAGAGAAATTGAAACAAAAACTATCGTCAATACCAAAATACCTTTTAAAAAACTTTTAATACCGTATAAAATTTTAAAATATATATTTTTTTTTTATGAAACATTTAATTGTCTAGGCTTACAATTGAACTTAAGAGAAAGATGTTTGAAAAAAGATATGAAACTTTGAACAAAATTTTCGATGAATCAATTGAACAAGAAATAGGAAACCTAAATAAAATAGTCGACAACATAAAAGATAAAGTTAAATTTGTTGAAGAGACATTAATTAAAAATAATTCAGCAGAGTCGTCTAAAGTATGGTCAATTTTGCTGACAGAAATAAAAAAAGTCATCACATTTTTAATAGATTCACATAATGACATAAGTAAAACTTATAATTAAATGAAAGGTTCAAAAATTTATTTGTTTAATTTATATGATAAAAATTATTCATTTAGAGGCGTTGGTAATGCTTCAAATAAAAACTTCGGTTTGGAATGTAACTCATATCGGGCCTTATATTTCTTCGATTATAATGGTCAACCCAAAGCATACGTTTGCTGCAGGAAATGTGAATTTTTACGACTTTTGTAAAACCATTGTAATACCTGAGAAATGGGAAAATCCAAGATTCCTTAACAAAATTTATCAATTGATTTTTCATTACGTCTTTGAAATACAAAACACAACTGCGGTTTGTTGTGAAACTACTATACAGGGTGTTCAGTAAGTAAGGAAACAGGTCAATTGTTACAAACAATGAGAACAATAGAAACCCGTTTCCTGACTTACTGAACACTCTGTATAATTTGTGAAACAAGAGAAAAAATTGACTGATTAGTGACATTTCATTTTCTTGTTTTATCCGCAATAATTTTCGATATTTTAAATTATAAACATCTTATCTTAAGATAAGTTGTTTGATAAAAAAATGGTTCAATCTAAAATAATTCTTCTATGATAATTTTATTATTTTATTTAATTTTAGCTTCCAAAATTAAAAAATATTTATATAGTCTTTGACTTGAATACAAATAAATATTATTAAATTTTTAGATTAATTTCATTCTTTGTACGCGTATAAAAATATATATTTTTGAATGATATGAATAATATTTTTTAAAATATGAATTATAAATTTATGCAATAATAAATATTTTTCTAGGAATTTTCTTGGGAAAATGTTGAAATCCATAAAGATGCTATGGATGCATATCAAAAAATTATGGTCGATGTAATAAAAAAAAGTAGAGTTGCCATGCTTAGATCAGAAGTCGTTTGGATAGTCAAATCAACAGGTAAATATCAGTTTTAAATACCAACTAGTAGAAACTAATTTCATTGTTAGTTGTTATATCTTGTAGAGCTGATTAACTTTATTGTTAATCTTATTGACCTTGAAGTGAAGTTTAAAAACATTGTTTTAAAAACTTATCATAATGATGCAGAAAAAACTTTGAATGATACTTATGAAAAGTTTAAAACAGATTCTCTAAAAACAGTGTGTTGTTTGAAAAACATTCGTGGAACGGTAAATTGTCGACTTAAAATGTCACACGGGAGTCCTAACAACAGCAGTGCATTGCAAGTTCTGCTAGTCGACATGAATCAAGCAAACAAAAAGTGTGCTGATATATTGAATAAATCATATACAGAAATAGAAGTGTGTGATTATTAAAAAAATATATTAAGTTACACTAAATAGCTTGGAATTAATAAAAAAATATTTCAGCTTCAATTAAAAACAATTGTTAGTGAATACACAAATAAATTTCCCCTGGGTGTTTTAAAAGCTGCAACATTGTCTTTTGATTTGAATACACTCCAAAATAAAATTAAGCAGATAACATATAGAACGAGTTCTATTAACCAAATATCAGGTATTTTAATTACAAAAATGTAGCCCAATATTATTTTATGGAGTATTTTGTCTAACACTTTAAAGTAATTTCATCGTATAAAAAATGCACAATGTTTGTTTACAGAATTCGATATTAAACAACACGATGGCACTTCATTTTCTTACACTGTATCAACAGCTAAACAAAACCTGGTAAAGGCAATAGAGAGTTTCAAACAAAACTCTATGACAAAATCTGGGATTATTGTCGTCAGACGGGAAAACAGCGAATATTGGAACAACAACGTTCAAGTAAGGATGTCATTCTTCTAAATTACCATGCACATAAATAGTCTTTTAGTTTACTGAAACGTCAATGCCTTTTATTTAGTGCTTTATTATAGGAGTCATGAAAGCATCTTACCGTGATTTATTCGTGTTTACATGTTGAGAAGGTTTAAGTTTAAACTGCTAATACTTTAGCATAATATTATTTTAAAATATTCTCTTAGATACCTAAACTTTATTTAGTACGTAAATCACGACTATCGATAGTTTCACATTGAATTAAATTTTTTATACTTAATAACAACTATATATATATATATATATATGTCAAGTTCATTGATATTACAAAATTGCGACTGAAAATATCAACTAAACTTCTATTTATTCAGTGTTATTAGTAATAATCCATCGAAATAATATAACCTATTTTCACACGCGTATTCTATTCTGATATAATGTTTCGCGTTACAATTACTTAATTAGACTTTAGTCTAATAATATTCGACAGCTATAGGAATATAATAACTATTAAATATATGTATAACAATGTTGAATGGCGAAATTATATTACTGATTTTTCTCAAATATTGCGGCATTCTATTTATTTTTTCTGTGAATTAAAATTTGTTCTCAACAATTCTATTCATCTATTTGAACAGCTTGTGTGTAATTTTTTCAGAAATTTTCTGATCTACATATAAAACGTTTCGAAGACATCAAAACATTTTATGCCGTTGAAAAGTCAAAATTAATAAACTGGGCTACTTGTTTCGTTCAAAATGTAAAAGAAATAAAGACATTTTTCGAGTGCACTTGATACAGCATACAATTTATATTTTTATTTTTAAACGAAATTATATTTTTATGAAACTGTAATTTATGAATTAACTTTTGTAGCATGTTATGTTGAAAAACTATATAATTTTCATCATAGTTGAATATTTTGTCATCTAATGAATTTTATATAATTTTATTAATTTAGATTTGAGTTTGCCTCATTAAATGCAACTATTATTGTCTTTGACAATTCATAAAGAGCAAATCGATCGATTATATTACAGATACAATTTTTTTATTTAAAATACGCTATTTAAGTTTTTAATAATTGGTTTAAACTAGATTTATTATTTTGAGAACTTTTACTTTTATAATTTTGCAAGGTAAATCAATTATAAATATGAGACTATTAGTCTTTTTGTTGTCATAAATATACTTTTAATAGGTTTTTTATTCTGAAAATAATTTTATTTAATGAAATATTTCTAAAGAAATGTTTCGATTAATGTGATTGATTTATAATGAAGTAGTATTGAGATAGTTCAAATTAATGTCAATTACTGATATGTAGTATTTAAATTCAAATGTTGTACATATTTCTAATCGAGCTTTACGTAGCCTGAAAAATATTTAAGAATTTATAGTTTGATATTCAGTGTATAATATATTTATAATATCTCCAAGATGATTATTTTAAATTTAAATGTGAATAACGTGTGCAAAACTTTCCATAACCTTTTTTACACGCAAAGTAGTAGGAATCCATGCCACAAGTTGTAATCAATTTATAATAAAAAATTATTTACTGCACGGAAGTTAGATCAACTACTAGGTGATATACTTATACCACTTAGTAGCTGTAAAAATAGCTTATTTGAAAGTATTCAGTTTGTATTAACTGTCACTATGGATACAATAAAAGGACAGGCCGATCGTATAAAAGGGTTGCATTAGTTTAAACTTAAAGTATCTAGTAAAATGTCTGCAGTGTAACTTTGCGACCCTCTCATTATATTAATGACATATTTCCAATCATGGAAAGTGATTTTTATTAAATATTCGTTATGAATATTAAAAAAAAAAACTTTTATTCTTTTTCAATAATTATTTATTCAAGCCAAGTTGACCATGACAACAATAAAAAAACATTATTATTAAGATTAAAGGGTTATCATTTTAGCTAAAATAATACAACTAAGAATAATGTTTGTTGTTTACATTTAAAAAACTTGACATGTGTCGTCATTGAACTTTTTAAAAGTTTTATAGTATATTTGGTTTGTTAGTGTATTAATAATATAGCTATGACGTTCCTTGAGCTACTTAATGTATTAACGTTACATTATCAAAAATGTTTGTTCAAGTTTTAGCACGACAATTGACAATCATGTCATTTTTAGCTGGAAATAAGTATTCATTAACATACAGTCTTTTAATTTGTTTTTACAATAATAGAACATTTCAAAACTCGAATCATTACGACTTCATCGTGGCAAATAATAATTCTAAATCTAAACTCCATTTGAAATGATCTAGAGACTCTTAGAAATACGAAACATATTTTATATTATTCAAATATATAGAAAAGAATAACTTAGGTATTTATATGTGCCGTGGTGGATGAAGATATCAGATGACTATGTTTTTAGATATTGGGATTGCGAAGTCAACAAGTAATGTTGTAGTATTATCGTTATGACGTCTTCTATATTTTATCATACTGAAAAGGATGGACAAGATGATGATTTATTTAACTCGTTAAAATCTCATTAACTTGACGAGTTAAATGAATTAGATAAACCAGTAGGTTCTCATAAAAAAATATCTATAGAGTTAAACAATTTTTTGAGGAGTAATTGTTTTCCACTAAATTTTTTTTTACCCAGCAAACCTGATTTTTCAAACATAAAAAATATATGTGATATAATTTTATATACCAAAAATGTATTTATTTTTATGTGAATTAGTCGAAATTATAAAACATAGTCGTGCCAATGTTAAAACCATGTATATCGACAATTTGAGGTTTTTTAAGAAATACATATTTACAATAGGGTCGGCCTGGCCTATTGGTTATAAACGTAAATTTCGGTGCACAGGGTTTCGTGTTCGATCCATAGGGTGCCAAGAGATTTGTCTTGTGATTTTCTCATTGATGATGTCTGGAGTCTGGTGCAAGCCGCGTTAATACTCGTCCCGTTCATCATTTGCCTATCCAAAAACCACCTTGGACTCCCTAACATGTGAGAGGGGGTCCTCTGTAGTATGTTAAATTCGGTAAATAGAAGTATGTAAAAATGATCATCACATATATGCAATGTGATACATTTTAAAGAGTTTTTGAAATAAATAATCTTAGTTACTTCTTAAAGATAATGTAGTGTTAAAAAACCTAATATCTATGAGTTGAGTCTGGGTTTCAGTGTAATATCATAGTAGATACTGTCCAAGCACTAATTTGATTTATGTAATGGAAAATTCAAATATAAACCTTTTATTTTGCGATTTAAATTTTTATTATTTACAATTATATCATAAAAATAGTTTTTTAAAGTTATTATGATATAAAATTGTAAAAATATAATATATGTAAAAAGATTAAATATTTATTTAAAAATAAAGTTATTATGATAAATAGTTATATTAGTAATAATCTTTATAATATTTATAAAATTCAGAATTTTTCACTGTTTTTGTGTAACTAAAGACATATGAATACAATTATTTTAATAAATTTAATATTACTACGTTCAAAGATATAACTTCAAGAATTATGGACAATAGCCAGGGCAAAGATTTATTACAACCAGTCAAATAACGAGATTAAATTATTATAAATCAAAACATCCTTGAAATTTTAACTTATAATTACTTCAAGTACTTATAAAATATTTACAAACACCCTTTTATTAGAGTAAAATTTGCTTTTAAGCAATTTACACGAATAATATTATTTGGGAATATTTTTTTTGTTCATCGATAATGTAATTTATCTGGTAATGAAATTTTTAAAGAACTGCCCCTCGACATTATTTGAATATTGTTACAACATATTTTTTAATATACATTTATATTTCCATTTAATAATTGACAATCTTATGATTCATTATTGTATATTAATGAACTTGTTTTTAACAAATATACTATACGTGTTTAAGGTACAAAACAATTTAAAATGTTTACCAATAAAGTGAAAATTCCATTAGTTTATCCAGTAAATAAATATTTAAGAATTAAATATATTTTATATAAATAAAATACATATTTTCTCTTAAAATAAAACAAATGAGGATACTTTTGGTTGATTTTCACTTTAAAGAATAACAAAATATTGTAAAAAATAATATTTTAAAAGTTAATTTTTTTTTTTAAATAATAAAACTCTGAATTTCATCACTTAAAAGACAAAACCACGTAACTCATTTTTGCGATTTTTTTTCGGTGGAAGTATACATTTTTTTGTATAAGAAAAAAAATATATTTATCATATTTTGAATTTTCATTTATTAATGAGAAATTAAATGTTATTTATTAGGAAAATATCATAAAATTTAAGTTAACAATTAATATTTTGAGTTATTGAAAAATACTTCATTATTTTTATTTATATAGATACATCACTAATATTGAAATTATAACTTGTGTTTTTAATATCCACAAATTTACCATTGCTATTTGTGTAAACATGTTCTCATATTTGTCCTATGCATAAAATAAAAAAAATTTCATAAGTAGTCTTGGTCTCACTTCTTTTATATATGTTCCACAACGTGCTGTTATACATTTTACTATAATAGGTAACTAACTAAAATGTCATCATAAAAAATTTTATTTTAAGTTTTTTATCATTATTTAATATCACTTTATTTTGCTATTTTCATTGAATAGTTTCATAAACTGTTAACAAACTGTCAAGTTTTCTAATAATCATAAGTATAGTAATGTACTATTTTTATAAGTATTGCTCTTGGCTGTGAAATTAGTATAAATTCATTATTACTGAAGAACGAGAAAATAATGGCCATCATTGAATACTCATTGTATTCTTGACGTTTGTACAATTTTAAGTCATGAATTGATAAATATAGAATTAGAGGAATCTGTATCATACATGGAACGTTATGAAAAATAAAACATAGATGATGTACAGTTCAGCATTTTTAATTGAATAATTGGATGACTCTGCTTTATTAATATTTAATTATCTTAAATTAAGTGATTTGAAAGACTAGACGGACAATAAAGAAAAAAAAATACAGTAATAATGTATATTGTATATTATTGCTAGGATATTGTTCGTATATTTTTAGTCAACCAAAATAATAAATTAGTTTTTTCCAAAGTCATTGATAAATTTAATAATTAAATAAATCTTTAATAGTTGTACTTTTTCAAGATTATAAGAAATGTAATAATCATCAAAATTTATAAATGAATAACTTTTGATAGTATTTTAAGTTAAAAAAAATTACTTTAATAATTAAACAAATATACATAAAAGAATATATAATAACCTTTATATCAGTCAACGAAAGTATTTATGTTTTATATGTAATAGTAAAATTTTTATTCTTGATTTATGTTATGTTATTAATGTAATGAGTTGATAATTATCCTCGACTACAACTCTCATTAAACTTGTTAAACTTGTATTATTCGTGTTTTTTTAATTATTTCAACGACCATATGTGGTCGTTAGAAATAAATATTTGTTGACATTTTGTGTAATACCTAGTTTTCTGATATTTGGGTTCTTGCTTCTTTCTTAATTATTTATAACCGTTTAATTTTGATTACACATACATACTAAGGATATAAATGACCGGTAATAATAAGTTAATTGTAATTTTTTTTATCAAAATTAACAAAATTAAAACTACTGAACTCAAAAAGCCGGAAAAATATTCTAAGGGAAAAATCGTGAATAACCAACCAAGTTATCATCACTGCTAAACAATAAATGGCATTTCTTTATTTTATATGCTATAAAAACATGATGCTCCGTTAAAATTTATGTGCTTATTTATCACGTGTTTTTCGGTATGAGTGATCAATTTAAGGATACTTCCCAGAAACGAATCATTTT